GGCTGTGACTCATACGTCAGGCTGCGAGCAGCCGCGTCCAACAACCTGGTTGACCAGTCCAGCAACCAGAAGGCCTGGTCGACGACCGGGCCGCGGGGACGCTAAGCCCCGAAAACACCTCAAGGTAAGGTACCACCTCTGGTGTACTTTTACGGGCTATTCATGCCCGTGTCACTTCTTGGGGGGGGGGGTAGCTTCAGCTTCATCAATCAATGTTGCAATTGAGGGAACACGTAGCCACGGAGAAGGGAATAAGGAGTTATCAGAGATAAACTTGCCGTTTGACTCTAAATACGTATGAGTATTTGCTTCTACCTCCCCTTTATTATTAATATTGTTGTTATACACTTTATTATACAAGGTTATGGAGTTACATTATATATATATATATATATATATATATATATATATATATATATATATATATATATATATATATATATATATATATATATATATATATATAATAACACCATATTAACAGGATATTTGTTTTTCAGGTCTCGCGTGATAAGTTTTTTCTCTATGTTAATAATGTGATAGAGCTCCGACCTAACACTTTAGAAGTGTTTGGTCGTCGACTGTCCACTGAGAACTCTCAAGATTATTCTCATCAATATCCACCAAACTTCCGATACAGCAACAATAATAAGAATGAAACTAATGAGCGTAGCAAAGAAGGTTATGACAAAGTTGTTGACAATAGAGAAAATTATGACAATAACGAATTTACCGGTAGTAAAGAAGTTAACAGCCGTGAGAAAAATACTCGTTCTAAGAAATGTAATAATTATAAGACTAAGAAGAGGAAATACAAAAAGGATGAGATGGAATCGAAGGAATGCAACAAAACGCCGGAGGAGACAGAGCAGCAGGCTTCCAATAAAGCACAACAACCAAGGAGCTCACATGAGGTGAGAATTACCTTGATATGGGCGACGTGTGGAAGTCGGTCGGGGCTCGCTGTTGAAAGAGAGGCTCCCAGAGTCACCAAGCTTCAGGAGTGGGCCCGGGAGGATGTTATTCCTGACCTTATCATACTGGGTGAGTACAGACAAGAGTAGGAAAAGTTAGCAATAGAATGAATAATGATTTTATGTGCCTATGCATTTCATAGTAACCTATAAAAATATTGTCTATTTTAACATTGTCATTAAGTTAACTTTGTACCACAGTATGTATGGGGGGGGGAGGGGGGTTAGATTTACCATTGTAAAAGACAAATTCACTTTCTGTGGATAATTGTTCCATAAATCCCTGAACTTTATATCTAACAGATCTCTAACCCTGTCCATGGGGTTTTTGAAGAAAGTGTATATATGCTACGACGTCCGTGGCCATACATTCTACAATGTGGTAGAAAATAATAATAACAAAATCTCCTTTTGTGATTATTTATACAGGTTTTGGCAAGTGGTTTTTAAGGGCGCGAGAATATTCAGAATTGGTTCCATACACCGAATTGGACTTCTGGACGCGACCACTAATAGAACCTGTTACTCAGTTAGTCAAAAGGACCAGAGTTCTACTTTGGGCTCAGAGCAGGTAACGTTGTAGGTAGAGAATTATTACACTTCAGCAGAACTCTATGTGTCACAATTTTTTAATATATTTTTATCAAAAGATTGAAGTATGTTTATTTGCATTGATAGATTGAATGTGTAATGGTTAGTTGCAATAAAATGCGCAGATTTTAGATCAAAGATACGCATTCAGCTGAAAATAAGTGTAAATGTCTGTAATGCATTATATTCTTTTGTTCAACCGAAAATTTCACCCTATAATATAATACCATTTCAGACTTCGGTGGTTCAATTTCGAAAATTCTTTGACCGATCCCCAAAACTGGGTAGGATTTTTGGCGTACAAGATTGAGCGTTCATATTTCACCTATGGCATCCCCCTAATCGACACTTGGCTTTGGTCAATATTCAGGTGAGGCATCATCGCATACCTCTATTCCTGTATGGTCTATAAAATTGTAGCATAATTTAGTCGGTTGAGCATCTGCCTCGCATCCTACAGGAGCGGTGTTCGATCCCCCAACGGTTTTAGTGGTGGGGTACTGATTCTCCACATTTTCCTCAAATACCAGATTAATGTCCTCATAACTCTTTCAAATACTATTTCATACTGACTCAGCACCTTCTGTTCATAATTATCTTCCTGCTATGAATGCCGTATCTTCATCTACTTGTATGATGATTTCTTCCAATGTGTTTACATTTTAATTTTAGATAAGATATTCATTCGTTATGAAACGTTGCTAAGATTTATCTTCTAATCGCAATGAAGAGGACATTCAAAATTCAATATATGATGATTGTTATTAAATTGAACATATTTATACGATAAGAGAGTATGTCTGTTCAAAGTTGGAGCCCACACGGTTGGGGGCTAGCCTCATCCAAACTGGCAGAGGAAATTGGTCTGGGGTATGGGATGAACATAAAGTGGTCGAAGTCCGCAGAATTTCAAAGGGAACAGCGTACCAGGACGACAATCAGAACCCCACACGATTTTTGGCACTGCCCGCCATCTCATTGCTAAACATTTCAAACAAACTTTTAAAAAATAATTTTGTACAGTAATATGCACCATTATTCACCGATTTCTAGAAAATTAATATAAATTTTCTGCTTTCGATAATTTGCCCGTACTCGCATAAAGATGACGATTCTTCAACTGCCTCAAAAATGTCCCAAGCCACAGTCCTTTATCAAAGGGGTAACTATTCTTTTTTCAGTAATTCATACCACTAAGCTCATTCTCGTGACCGCCCACATATTAGACAATTACATATTTGATAAGAGAAAGAGAGAGACAGACGTACAATATGTAGATGCATAGATAGTTTGATGGATAGATGGGAATCATCATCAAATCTAAAATACTGAAATGTCATATAGAAAAACTAAATAGCAAAACAAAAACTTATGATGAGTTTGGAATATAAACCTCATTACTTAAACAAAATAACACTTATGAAGAATCAAAGAGCAAAACAAAATTTAACTTACGGTTTTCTTAAGCGATGTAAGATGTGATATGTATCAAAATCCGATAACAAAAACTAGTAAATAACACTTATGAAGAATCAAAGAGCAAAACAAAATTTAACTTACGGTTTTCTTAAGCGATGTAAGATGTGATATGTATCAAAATCCGATAACAAAAACTAGTTGAAAATTATAATTGTTCCCAAAAAGATTAAGATAACTTATACAAAAGCTGAAAATAAAGGACATTATAGAGTACTAATTACACAGATTACATAGTACATAAATATTATACAATAAAAGGAATAAACATTTTACTCGTTATTTTAATTAGGTGGATATAATTGTAAGACCAATTGTAATAATTATATATATTAAATAATTTAACTTTGGTCTATCCTGACCCGTCTATGTTCATCCCATACCCGAGACCATTTCCCCTATTTATCAATCACTAGAAAATCACATTAACATAATGTTAATGTGATATCATTGTGCATCTGCAAGAAGGAAGGATGTTACCCTACTGACCAGTCGAAGTGGTTGAATTAATCGTTGTATATAACTATATGTTACCTTGTTGCAGATCTACAGGAGTGTGGCACTAGGACACGACACTGCCTTTCAATTTAGCTAACCTAAGGGAGTGTGAGACGATGAGAAACATGTACAATATCCCAGACTACCAAGGTAAGGCACACTGCTCTCGCAAAGACTGAGTGAATGTTTTAAACCTAAGCATTGCACGTATGTGCATATTCAGCCTTAAAAAATCATCATTGTGATGAGGAAGTAATTGGAATTGTTGTGGATAATATCGAAAAGGCTCCAAAAATGACAAATTACACAAATGAAGAGGAATAATGAGACGCATAGCGAGAAAGATCAAATTCAAGATCCAATTGTTTAAGGATTCATAAGTGTAAGTTTGAGGTCTATATGTGGATAACAATAAGAAAACGAATTTTGACTAGTTCCAAATTCGAAAATGAATTTGTTCACACAAAATGAGCTTCAGACAACGAATGCCTCGAGAACAATTATAGCTCCAACTTAAAATATTTACAATGTGTAACTGCAAAACATTTCACAATGTAAAACTGTCTTATAAATGAACATATATATGTTTTCAACTTAGGTCGCAGATTCGAATCCCATATTATACTGTTTCCAATATTTGTTTTCACAATATTTATTTCTAGAAGTGATAGGATAAGAGGCGTCAATTATTCCACTTTATCATGCTCTTTGTTAGGCTTCATTTAGATATATATTGGATAAGAAAGACCTGGGTACATACTGGTTGGAAAAAAGGCTAGTTGATTTATGGGGTAGATTATATTAGACAACACAATAGACCTGGGATCAGGGAGGAGAGGCGAGAGGATTGAGAAAGCAGGGATCTGGAGAGATGGAAGGAGAGGGAGAAAAGGATAGAAAGGAGAAGGTATTAAATGGAGGAGAGGCGAATAGATTGGGGGAGATGGGAAGAGAGAGAATAGAGCAGGGGTAGAGGGGGGTGGGGAGAGTTAAAGAGATACAGGTAAGCGAAGAGAGGTATAAATAATAAACTTCAGATATATTCTCTCAGGTAACTGGTGGTACTGCCTGGACCAACATCACTCATCTATGGAAACTAACTTCGATGAAATGCAAATGTTACTGAACTTGTTGTGCAATAAATACCTAGTCACCACTCCGCAATACTGTTGCTCAGAACAGTGAGCCAGCTGCAAGAACCATACCATCTCCAGCACTGCTGATGTAGTGAACCAGCTGCTTGAACCATACCCTCGGCAGCATTGCCGTTACTGTGAACCAGTTGCATGAGCCATACACAATCACCAGCCATATAGTGAGCCTTCTTACCTCGGCACTGCAGAGTATTAAACCCATTACAGTATATAAAGAAATTATATACCGTCAAAATACTCTTCTCGCTCATACTAATCCTCTCCCAATCTTCATTGTTTACCAAGATGTTTGTTTAATAAAACAAAATACTTTTTAATGTTTTATTTTGATTCGTTAAACGCATAGAGAAGTTTAACATGAAATGTTACATGTGTAATATTTCTAAACAAATAAATCAGTGTATATGGTGCAATAGTTGGGACAGCCTCTAATAGGAAAATAAAGAGTATTCAGAGAAGACTTAGTGGATTCCACTGAGAGGAAAGAGTGAGTATATCTTTACCATTCTGGATAATGACCTGTTACTCATCCTATGTGATCTCTAGTGACTTACTCATCCAGTGTTATCACTATTATATTTTACTCGTCCTGTTTTAACATTACTAATTCATACTCATCCATGTTATCACCACTGACTTAGTTATGTAATGTTATCACCTTTGACTTAATCATGCAATGTTATCACTACTGATCATGCTATGTTATTACTACTGACTGTTACCGATCCTTGTTTATTGCTGTATTCATCCTGTGTTATCACTGTACTGACTATTACTTATCCTATGTTATCACCACTAACTTACTCATCCTGTGTTATCGTTGCTGACTGTTACTCATCCAATGTCATCAACCTGCACATGCATCTACTGTACCATGATTTACCTGTTACAGTCGTCCCTGCAACATCCTTACTCACATAGTTATATTCACATGTGTATAATCACTACATTGTGAATTAAAGTTAATACTATAGATACTTAGTCTAAAATGTGCAAACTAGGAACTAAGCCAACACATACCAGAAAAGAAATTGAGTAATAAAAATATACGATAAATTGTCAACAAATTTAAAAGTTAATGCAGACATGAAGTCACAATAACGTGGTTGAAAATTAGACACCCAAGCCAAACATCTGAAAATAGGGTAAATGACGACTCAGGACGTCCCTTCCCTGAACGGTTAAGGACGGACCTAAGTGTCATTAATTTCTCTGTTTTCAGAGGGGTAGGTTGGGAGTCTTCACATGTATCATTCTCATTTTTGTTGTGACGAGTAGAATGGTTATGAGAAGCCATACAACAGGATTGAATCTGCGTCGCTGAACTCCTCAGGGATGCATTTTTAGTCCCATCATATGGCTATAATTTTTTTTTTGTTATAGATATACCACAATTTTTTTTATTTTTTTGAGTAATAGAATACATTCTTGTGGGAAACACTATGAAACTATTTCAGCAAAAGTACATGATTTAGAGAGGGGATCTGAAAAGAGAGAGGATAAAAGCTCTTCATCGCTCGGTCATGGTAAAGGTCTGTGGCTTGTCGGGCTTATAGAGCACCCTGAACACTGGGTCCCACACATCGTACTTGTACTCCAAGTTATACTTCGAAAACATCTGAAAAGAATGTTTATTATGGAATATATAGAGTATGATTATTTTCATTGTTCTTGACTGTTTGATATATATATTTGTTTAAATAGACTGGATCACATCGATCATCTTACATGGAAAATGTTGGAACTGGTGCTTTACTGCTGGTTCTAATTACCTCTAAAGTTATAATTAATTCTCAGCCGAGATGTGATGAACATAACATTTTAGAAGACAGTTTAACGTAGAAGTATACATATATCATGTTTTATTAATATATAAATAGTTTATTAAGACCACAATGACTAAGATTCTAGCTGCACCAGATCTCATCCCCCCAAAATATCTTTCCTTATGACACTAGCGAACAAGGTAGTGTAGGAAACAGTAGCTAGGTGGCCCTGACCTATACAGGTTTTGGTTCACCTCCCTGGTACTAACCCTGGCGAGTAACACGTAGACCTCCTGTTCGGCCAGCCTCCGGCCCACACACATGCGAGTGCCCACGGAGAAGGGGATGGAGGCAAACTGGTTAGTGAGACGATCTGGATTTTCCCTCAGCCAGCGCTCTGGTATAAACTCCGTCGCCCGAGGGAAGTATTCCTCTCTCAGGCTGGACTCTTCAATGCTGACGTATATGTGAGTCTGCCAAAGGGGAAGATTGCTTAAGCACAAGAACATATTCGATGAACGATTTGATGAGAATAAAATTGGTGCTTATGATATTGTTAGTATGTCCCAAGGATTATTGTTATTGTTCAGATTAAGGCACAAAACGTAGCAAAAACAGAAAAAATCTTCAGTTTTTATTTTAACAAATCACTAGATCTGAGAGCACCATAAATCAGGAAAACAGAAAATAGTAGTCCCTAAAGTCAAGAAATTGGACTGAAATACCCACAAAACAACTGACTGATGTCAGAAACATAATATGCCTTCTCTCTTTCTGTATTTTGATTCATAGGCTGTCTTCCAACTTTCTGGTAGTATACATGTGTGTGTGTGTATTAGGTGGGTGGGTGCAAAAAGAAGGCGTGGGGTGGAGGAAGTGGGGTGTGCTACAGAAGGTGAAATAAAATACAATACTCACCCCAGCGTTCACTCTGTAGCCCTGAAGTGTTACGGGCTTGTCGGTTTGACGGGTCACAATTGGCGTTACTGGCTGCAGCCTAAAGCAATAAAAAATGATACAAATTGTCAACTCTTTGATATAGATTTTATTAAGATTAATCATCCTCTTTTTACCTTTATATTTCTTTCATGTTTTAATGTCTTATGCTTGTATGAAATATTTACAATTAATAATTACTATTGCTTTAGTTTATATTTTTGTTTACCGAGTCAAAAAGTTTTCAAGGTTATCTGAATATTTATATCTTATCTGACACCGATATCTATAAACCACTTCAAGGTGCAGTCTTCAAATTTTTATGTTAGATATCGTAATGTTTACCTTAAATTAAAACTTGTCCAAATTGAAATTCAAATTCAGGATGAAAATATAGCCAAAATATGTAGATAATTAACTTTGCTTCAAAAGGTTCCGTTTATTCCAATCACTCTTAATTAATTAACATGTTTCTTCTCTTTACTCTGCTAAAAACTCTCTCATTATAATGTCTCTCTCATCTGACACCTTCCTCACCTTAGTGCCTCCCTCACACAGGCTTTTGTGTAAGTGAGTTTGGCGATATGATGGGAAGTGAGAGCCTGGCTCCCGTCTCCCAGCACCTGGTCCAGTTCCTGCTGTAGTCTGGCCTGCTTATCTGGGTGCCGGGCCAAGTAGTACATGGTAAACACCGACGTCATCGATGTCTGTGGAAAGATTAACATAAGTGGTCTTGACCACCACTTAACTTGGCTATGACGAGAGCGAGAATAAGATCTTTATTCGAAAGTTAGTTCAATATGACAATAACTGTGTCTCATGCCAGCTTTAAAGGTAAATAAAACTTTGTTCAAAGAGTGTAAGTGGTGCAATAAGTTAAAGAATAGCAGGGAAAATTAAATATTTGAAAAGCAAACGTCACAAATCAAGAATGAGCAATCCGTTTTCAAAACAGAAAATCATTTGCAGATCAACTGAGATACAATTTAGTACATCTATAATGCTTTTAAGGAATTTCTATGCATGTCTGTCTATGTAAGTATATAGATAATTTATATTTATCGACTGATCATCTATGGCAATGGAATATAAGGCATTTATTGTGTGTAAAATATCTATTTAAGAATTCATTGATTTTAAAGTTTTTAAACTTGATTTCCACATAATTTATAATTATATCGATTATAGAGAGGAAGTTTTACCGTGTCAATCCCGGCGAAGAAGAGGTCGACCATGAAGGTGATAACGTCCTCGAGCGAGAGACCCGGAGTGGTGAGGAGAGACTCCAAGATGTTCAGCTCGCCCAAGTCCTCGGGGTCACGGGCTTCGAGGTCCTTCTTAGCCTGGCCAACCTTCTCCAAGATCACACTGGCGATATAGAAAATAGCATTTTACGACATTAATATTCACATAAACGATGGGGAAAAGTTTCCAACGCATACAAGACAAGGGAGAATTAACGTACTCTAGGAGGTTGTCGTGGGCCTTCCACATGCGTCTCAGCGGCGCTGTGGGGAAGTACTTCCACAGGTGGATGCCGAACTCACAGTCCCCAGAGGCTTCCATCATGCTGATGGATGACCGGATGATGTTCTGTCCCTCCTCACTGTTCTCTAAGCACCCTATCCTCTTGTTGAGGGCCACAAGGCACAAGGCTGATGTGCCATGTTAAAAAGATTCTGCAATTAGTAAACTGTAATATGTGATTTCTCTCTCTCTCTTTCTCGTTAAAATTGTACAATGCACTGTGTGGAGGCAATTTTTCCACTTCCTTCCCAGTTGAAGAAGAACATAAGAAATAATTTATATCCTTTCTGTCATATTCAGTAATAAACACACACACACACATACATACCATTAGGGTGATGTTGTCTTGCCTATACATAATCCTCATAGTCCAGCTCCTTATCCACATTTCCAATATTATTATTATTATTATTATTGTTCTTTTAATTTTTATGTCTGTGATTATTATATTTTATTATTCTTGTTTATTACTTATTATTTTATTTATTATTATTATTTTGATTATTTACATAATAATGTTTACAAGACATTCAAGATACTCACATTCCAAAGCCCATTTAAACAACTCTTCGACATAATCGCCAGGAAGCTCATTCTTGTGGTCCCGTTGACCGGCTGACCTGTTGAGAAAGGCCTGGATATTAACCCTTTGGCTGCTTATAACGCTTATGAACGTTGGTAAGTAAACACAGTGGTTGAAAAGCTTAGAAACCTTTCACGAAGAACCTACCTGCAGGAGCTCCATAAAATTCATATGCTACACCACAGTGTGACACTCACTTTAAAAAATGCTCGAGGGCCCACACATAAATAATTGATTCTGCAACTTAAATTATACATTGCAGAAGATTCTGTGATTAAGATTCTCCTCAGAAGAATCAAGGTGAAAACGACTCAGCTTGATTCTGCAGGAGATTATAAATTCTAGAAGCTATCCTCATCAACGGAAAAAAAAGACTTACTATACACATACAAAACAACAACATTGCTTTACTAACAACTCTGAGGCCTTGACCCTTAACCAGTGAAATATGCCGTCACAGCAGAGGAAATCCCGCACATTCGCCGGCACTGACCGGCTATACTGACATAACCTCTACCTGACCTCTACTTGAGTATACTGTATATTATATTCCCCGTAATATACATGCTACACATCTCACTTGAGGATGTTCTAGCAAGAACGAACGTAGAGTACACCTGGCCCCTCACCCGCCACCATGAAGTAGACTACGTCATCACGTACCTGGTTCCTCACCCACCACCGTGAGGTAGACTATCTATGTCATCACGTACCTGGCGACGAACTCTTGGGCCACCTGGTCGACCTGTGGCAGGTACTGAACCACGTTTTTGGTCCTCATGGAGTGCACCTGCACTAGCCTCCTCACCCGCCACCAGTCCTCACCCTGCCTGGCGTATATCGTTGACATTAACTTATATATACGTATGTTAATAATTCACGTTATCCAAATATATAAAAAAGGACAAATAAGAGGGATAAATATATTGTTCAAGAGAAGAAATATGTGAATTTAAATCTAAAAAATGAAACAGGGAGACAGGTCAAAACGAATATATCAATACATAATGAGATTAAAAACATGATAAATCACCCTAGTAGTAAGACTTTTCATGTGAATTGCAATCATTGTTGGTGCACTACAATGACAAATAATGCTCATAAATTCATGAATTAGTCAGCACATCACGTCTCTTGATCTGAAAGACGCATAACTGTTTTAAGGAGGTGGAATGCGCCATCTCAAAGCGGAAATAAAATGCCTAAAGGGAATAAATACCCCATAGGTAAGCTGTTTAAAATCGCTAATGAGGGCTAAGTGTACGAATATGCTATATGATGATGGTTCATTCCCATGACGAGTGTCGATCCCCGATAAATTTATACTTCAAGGTAAGCTAGAACAAGAAAAAATCACTTGGAAGTGATGTGAGGAGAAGGATTTAGGATAGAATAGAGGGAAGGAAGGGCGCCCAATCACTATGACTGTCGGGGATAGAATGTCGACCTGCAAGAAACGAGGCCGTCGCTCTACCGACCAGGCCAAGTTGTTCAGTCAGTTCCCCTTCAAGGCAAAATTATAATAAGTAAGATAGGAGATGGAGAGTGCATGGATTGGGGTCTTGGATCTTAGTCCTGATAATAGACTCAATAAATGGCCTGCTTCCCTCGGTCTGTTTTTCAGAGCCAATTTTTTATGAATCAGAATTAAGTTAAACAAATACTTACTCGGTAAGGACGCCTGTTCCAGATGTCTTAAAAAATTTAGCCTTGTTCTTCATGCGAATTTTTCTAAGAGAATCTAAAATTGGCCTAGTTGGATTGTCAGCCATCTCTCTGTAGAGATGTTGAATGTCAGTGGGATCAGAGATGAAAATAACGTCTCCCTGCCCAAGAAGATTCAGCTTGAAAATTGGTCCGTATTTCTTGAAATAGGATCTCCAGAGACGTGGGATCCGTGAAACATCATAATCTAGTCAATAAAATTTTAAATTAATTACAAACTGTACGGTATAAAACAAAGTAAATAAATACATATGGTTTTCATTATGGGCTATTATGTGTTGTACAAGTTCAAGTATGTTTATTGAGATAAGAAAGAAATACATCTCAAAGGGATAGAGTAGCTTAGGCTATTTCTACCCTCCTAAGTGCTGTAATTATAGCTGGACAAGTACAGTGTCACTCGAATTCTTACCTGGGTCGGAGTATGCGGCAGGTAAGGTCCCCAGCAGCGGCCATGACCTGGGACCCGGGATCTCAGAGTGTGGCCGAGGGAGAGAGTGGGAGTCTGTCGTGGCCAGCGAGGGCGCCACTCCGGCTATGGAGGACATTTCCCGGGACCTCCAGGGGCCAGAAGAAGCTCCAGGGAGAACAGAACGTGAGGAGAAGATGACGGGACGTGAGGAGGAGATGACGCGACGTGAGGAGGGGAAGACATGGGATATTCCAAGAAAGGCAGAGTTCTTCCCGAGAAGCCTCGCTCGTAGTGCGTTGGCCATCTTGCCGCCAGCCTCTCTTCTTATCAAAAATATTCTCAGACACTCGTAGACTGCTTAAATAATATTTGCGAGTCTTCTCTCTCTCTCTCTCTGTTAAATATTAAAGCGTTTTGTAAACCAATTGCTTTGAATAACATTTTGTCTTCATTCGCAAATTTCAAACAGTTTGACACATGCAATTGACTAGAAAAAGTTAACTCAGTTGTTATCAAACCAATTATTTTTGCCTTGAAAGAGACGAGTGTCGTACCTTTACGTCCCCACTTATGGAATGTGAGCCTCAAAGATGTCATTCAGGACGACAACATCTCTCTGCCCAATAAACTCGCCCCTCGGGGCAAAATTTAAAATTTAAATCTCTCTGTAGGTACCTGTCATTGCACAAACTACAATGATAACCAAACCACACATCAGAAGAGAGAGAAACGACGACGTTTCGACTTCATAATGGTCCAGAACGGACCGAAACGTCGTCGTTTCTCTCTCTTCTGATATGTAGTTTGTTCATCGTATTTTCAGCCACGTTATTGAGACACATCTTTACACAAACAACAAGACTGTCAACGATCACATAATTTCTACAGTCAACCAGATCATCACCGGAGATATCCTGACCAGCAACACTAAAATAATCGGCAAATGCAACGACAATTGGAGGTAAAATATTCCCAAAGCACTGCAAATCACTCTCATCCAGTTATGAACAGGCAGTTTACGTCCTTCCATCTACCGGAACAATACAGAACTACCAGCTCACCAGCCCGCCCTCCAAACAAAGATCGAAAAGTGATTCCATGCACCCGTCAAACCTGTTTATGAACGAAAAACGGTTTACACACGACTCACAACTGATGACGTTCGAACATATCCGGAACAAGTGCTTCACTGACGAATTTTGTTCGAGTCACAACGCTGTAAACAGCCCGTCCTCCAAACAAAGATCCAAAAGTGATTCCATGCACCCGCCAAACCCCCTGTTTATGAATGAAAAGCAGTTTACACACGACTCACAACTGCTGACGTTCGAACACTTCCGGAACAAGTGGTTCACTGACGAATTTTGTTCGAGCCACAACGCTGTAAATGCTTCACCCACGTACTACAAATACAAATAATCGCCAACAGAACCTAAACACCTAACCTAACCTATGCCTATATATGCACAATATGCTAATATATTATAATATTAATTTATATTTGAGAACATTCCCATTTTGAATGAACAGCATGTAAAATTTATGAATGCGTCTGTAGGGTCGACCGCTGGATGTAATGGACTTGAGTCGAGGACGGGTTGCAGCTCACCCTACACCTACTGCCCCCAGCCAATCAATGACAATGCAGGGCAAAACTGTCAATTTCCATCGAGTTCCATTAACAAGGAAAGTCCTAATAATTACAACTTTCGAACTGGTTTAGTTAAATAAAAGTTAAAGAACTGAAACCTTTCCTAATGAAGTTTTCTTCGTGGTAATTACCACATTATCTACTCGCATCACGTGTATTTTTTATCCTGACTAACGCATAAATAATTCGTAGATTTGCGTCTGTTATGAACGCTCTAAGACTGCTGGAATATTTTATCGATCTCTTAACTATCAAACACGCATGTTTGAGTATTTTCTTCAATGCTGTTTATCAGATACACTATCGTTCCTCAACCCGTCCTCGACTCAAGTCCATTACATCCAGCGGTCGACCCCACAGACGCATTCATAAATTTTAATATGCTGTTCATTCAAAACGGGAATTTTCTCAACTATAAATTAATATTATAATATATTAGCATATTGTGCATATATAGGAATAGGTTAGGTTAGGTGTTTAGGTTCGGTTGGCGATTATTTGTATTTGTAGTACGTGGATGAAGCATTTATAGCGATGTGGTTCGAACAAAACTCGTCAGTGAAGCACTTGTTCCGGAAGTGTTCGAACGAAATCAGTTGTGAGTCGTGTGTAAACCGTTTTTAATTCATAAACAGGGGGTTTGACGGGTGGATGGAATCACTTTTGGATCTTTGTTTGGAGGACGGGCTGCGTTCCTAAAATAAGATGGCTAAACTAGCGTTTAAACCAATATAACGTCCTCAGATGGGGGATATAAATTGCTTTGAGTCAGGTGTACTTAATAAGATATATTCTCATGCACTCGCATCGTATTGCGTTACGGGCTCACCATAGCCCGTGCTACATGCACACTTCGTTCTGAGTAGCTAAATATAAAAACAACAAACAACGTATTTACAGAGTGGAGACCACGGATGATTCACTGAAAATAAACCAGAATATAGTTCAACTTTGCTAAAGATTATATTCCCCTGCTCTTTATATGCTTTTTAATTCTAACATAAGACACCAGTGGAAGAATCAAGCAGTATGCAACTGGTCTGTAAAACAAATAGCTCGAGCTTTGGCATTGGCGCGAAGCCAAATTTTGTAGCCAGGCAACGTACTGAGGCGCCTTGAAATTATAGTCATTCGCCCTTCTCATGCTGACTTGCGGCATCTCTCCGAACATCTGACACCCCTACCACCGTGTTCTCTTGCCTGTGACGTGTAACATAACCTATACTTTGTTACGACTGTGCCTGATTACTGGTCTAATTGGTGTTATATAATATATATATATTATATATATATAGCTGGAGGAGCTGTTCAACTTGTGACAAGCAGCCTTGTACCCTGCATGTAATAAATATTGTAACTTTTTTTGTGTAATGACATTTTCAAATAAAGTTAGATAAATATACACACTTAACAAAAGAATAGGGGTGGTAGGAGAAGAAAATATCAAAGTGTTCAGTGAGGATCCACAAGGTCTTCTCTGAGTACTCTTTATTTTCTTCTCCGAGGCTATGGGTCCCTACACTTGCACCAGAGGTGGTACCAATGTAAAATATATATATATATATATATATATATATATATATATATATATATATATATATATATATATATATATATATAATGACAGTGTCAGACCACGAAGGAAAATTGAAACAGGAAAATCCTTAAGTACTTTCGTATATTAATACATCTTCAGAAGGAGTGAAGATGTATTAATATACGAAAGTATTTAAGGATTTTCCTGTTTCAATTTTCCTCCGTGGTCTGACACTGTCATATTTTTTAATCACGTGTTTATTTTCGTGATACCCCACACACACACACATATACACATATATATATATATATATATATATATATATATATATATATATATATATATATATATATATATATATATATATATATATATTATATATATATAAGAGCTTATATGGGGAGGATGTCAACACGCAGCAGGATAGACAAAGATAAGCTGATTAACATTGACAATGTTTTTGGCTCCGTATCAGAGAAGCTAAACTCATTTACTACGATAATGTTCCTGTTTATATCTTACTGTGGCTAACTATATCTTACTCCTGCTAGCTATATCTTACTGTTGCTAACTATATCTTACTCCTGCTAGCTATATCTTACTGTTGCTAACTATATCTTACTGTTGCTAACTATATCTTACTCCTGCTAGCTATATCTTACTGTTGCTAACTATATCTTACTCCTGCTAGCTATATCTTACTGTTGCTAACTATATCTTACTCCTGCTAGCTATATCTTACTGTTGCTAACTATATCTTACTCCTGCTAGCTATATCTTACTGTTGCTAACTATATCTTACTCCTGCTAGCTATATCTTACTGTTGCTAACTATATCTTACTCCTGCTAGCTATATCTTACTGTTGCTAACTATATCTTACTCCTGCTAGCTATATCTTACTGTTGCTAACTATATCTTACTCCTGCTAGCTATATCTTACTGTTGCTAACTATATCTTACTCCTGCTAGCTATATCTTACTGTTGCTAACTATATCTTACTCCTGCTAGCTATATCTTACTGTTGCTAACTATATCTTACTCCTGCTAGCTATATCTTACTGTTGCTAACTATATCTTACTCCTGCTAGCTATATCTTACTGTTGCTAACTATATCTTACTCCTGCTAGCTATATCTTACTGTTGCTAACTATATCTTACTTCTGCTAGCTATATCTTACTGTTGATAACTATATCTTACTCCTGCTAGCTGTATCTTACTGTTGCCAACTATATCTTACTCCTGCTAGCTATATCTTGCTCTTGCTTCAGCTATATCATGCTCTTGTTAGGGTCGATTTAGATTATGCACTTCAATTTAAGTCGCCATACTAAATAATGGATATAAATTCCCTTGAATTTTTTCAGAAGAGGATGACAAAATTTATCCCAGGAATTAGAAACCTTCCGTATTAAGCGAGATGACAAAGCTTAATATGCATTCTCTAGATAGGCCAAAAGTTAGGGATGACAATATTGAAGTGGATGAATTGAAATATCAAAGGGATATTAATAAAGTATTAAATACATCAACACAATATAGAACACGAAACCATGGTAAAGTCCTGATTTAAGAAAGACCTGGGTGAATACTGGTCTGGAAACAGGATTGTTGACATGTAGAAGCACCCTAGTACACGAAACGCTTTGTGTAATAGTGGCTTTAGGCATTGTATGTACTAGCCCTATCTGTAAATCCATCACTCTTTGTAAAATCTCTTGTATGCATGTACCTTACCTAAATAAACATTTGATTTGATTTGATTTGATTTAGTATAAATGTACATTAGTACTAGCACCCTAGTACACCTAGTATAAATGTACATTAGTAGTAGTACCCTAGTACACCTAGTACAAATGTGTATTTGTACTAGCACCCCTAGTACAAATGAACCACAATAGAGGACACTTGGATAAGCTTGCCTCACCTCTGTTGGAATATCTCTCTGCCAGGGGCTGTTGATTGCAGAACGACTTCTCTGTTCCTCCTCTCGCCACCGTCAACTCACTGGTTCGCCTCAGATGTTTCGTCCTTCATCGCCTTCCCTCCCCCCCCCCTAATTACCCTCCTCCCCCCACCAGACCCCTTCATCACCCGAATCTACCCCTTCCAATCACCTCATATCAATTGATTTAGACATATCGTAATTCTTATTTGTCCTTCACTTTATGTCATTCCTCGCTGAGATTCAGTTATAAGTAATATATTAGAATATGATGTTACCAATTACAGTGCCGTGACCATATCAATTACAGTAGTATCGCATTCCCAATTATAGTCGTATCACCATCTCAATTAAATTGGTATCATCATCCGAGTTATATTGAATTCATCATCACGAATACAGTGGTATCACACCCCTAATTCTAGTAGTATTACCATACCAGGTAAAGTGGTATAACTATTCTAATTACTGGGTACTACTCTGGGTACTACCATCCCAGTTACAGTGGTATCACCATTCCAGTTTAAGTGATAGCCTTAAATCAACTAGTGAAGCTGTTCATTCTGGCATCAAATGACTACGTAAGTAAACAGTGAACGAATGCAGAGGGGCCAGAGGAGTCTCGAGGCACTGACTCTTGGGGCACTGACTCTTGGGGTACGTATTCACCAAGTTGTGCTTGCTGGGGTTGAGCTCTGGCTCTTTCGGCCCGCCTCTCAACTGTCAATCAATCGACATTTTTTTCCTCTCACACACACCCAGGAAGCACCCCATAACAGCTGTAAAATTTCTAGGTACCTATTTACTGCTAGGTAACAGGGGCATCAGGGTGAAAGAAACTCTGCCAATTCGGGCATAGGATTACGAGACCTTCTAGGGTCCACCGTGTACTACCTTGGGTATATACCCAGCTGTGTGGCTGAAGGCGTATGGTTTAATATGCCCTTCACTTTTGAAATAATCACTCGAAATTTCTTTGTTTACAAGTTAAAAAAAGAAAAAAAAACGCTCGGCTTAACAGGGATGGTCTCCACTAAAGTGACAATTGATGGAGCAGTTATAAGGAGAACAATTTCTTTGGAAAAAGCAAAAGACAATAACAGAGAAGCACGAAGAAAATATGTCTTCGATAGGTTGGTAAAAAGGGTTATGAGATGAATAAAAAATAAAGTATGATAGATATATATATAATATATATATATATATATATATATATATATATATATATATATATATATATATATATATATATATATATATATATATATATATATATATATATATTATATATATATATATATATATGTGTATATATATATATATATATATATATATATATATATATATATATATATATGTATATATATGGTTTAATGAATAAGTACATTAGTTTATTTACTGGTTTAATGAAACATTAAAATGAACTAGTTTAATGTTTAATGAACTAGTGCAATTTGACCCAAACATAAAATTTAGGTGATCAGGTTCATTAATAATAAACAAAATAAAGTTTAATTATAGTCAACAGTTCACGTTGAATGTGAAACTTAGAAACTATATTTAATCTTACAGAAAAAAGTAATATTACCGATAAAGTAACATAATATAATGTTTATGGTATGACGCTTATTCCGCTACAGTTCCATATCTGTAGACAGAAATGGAGACAGGACCTCAAACCGTCAACGGTCGGCCAGGTTAGACAGGAAATCCCCGATTCGTTACGGTAGACAGGATCGCTCGGTCATGGTAAAGGTCTGAGGCTTATCAGGCCTGTACGTAATCCTGAACAATGGGTCCCACTCCTCGTACTTGTAATCCAGATTATACTTCGAGAAAAGCTGAAACAAGGTACATAAATATACGCTAGCATATAAATTACTTTCAGACGTGAATGCATCTCACATAAATAACATACATTTCCTATAAATAATGTGTATACATAAATATGAGAGTTGATAAGTGCAGTAATGTGTAAATATAAGTATAAAAGTGTTTACAAGTTAAATATACTGTATGACGTACCCTGCTTCTCAGTATATACATTACATTAACCTTGAACTAAGTTCAGAACTAGAGTATACTTGCTGGATGGTCAGTAATCTGTAGTCTCTTGAAGTAGAATAAATATATCTTAAGTACAACTTCTTCTTGATTAGTACAGTATTTGTTGTTGGGTTATTGTAGAGAAAATATATCCTACATTCGATTTAAATCAAAATTTGTTAATTTAAAAAATCTTTTTTATTTTCAACAATTTCACCGTTTGTTTATAACACCTTTCTTAATGCTTATCAACCTTGTGGACCCTTCTCTTGTATCTTCCCTTGTCCAACATCTCTCAAGAGATTGGATCTTAATCTATCACGATAATAACAACATGTATTGCCTTAAATGTGTCAAAACATGATGTACGTCTTCAAAAGAACTGACTTACATTCTGTTGGTTTTCAAGAAAATTGAAATACATTTTGTATTTTTCCAAGATTACAGATATTTTGAGCTGTTATTTTCCATAGTTGGTTCCATTTGCAACGTTGGTTAAAATAACGTGAAAAATGTGACCTATTAGATGAGAGGACGGGTTTTAAGCACTGAACTTGTGCTTGAAGTTTGTTCACTTCTTCTTACAAAGAGCGCCACTACTGAAATAATTCCCGAAATAAACCAATTTTCCATGATTCAACTGAACACTTCCACCAATTACGAAGGTCCTCACAACTTAGAGAACCTGATCTGACCAAGCATTAAGTGTCCTCCTTGGCACTTACCCTCGCGAGTAGCACATAAACCTCCTGCTCGGCCAGCCTTTTGCCCACACACATGCGGGTGCCCATGGAGAAGGGGATGGAGGCGAAGACGTTGTCGCTACGGTCAGGATTGGCCCTCAGCCAGCGCTCCGGCAGGTACTCAGTCGCTCGAGGGAAGTATTCCTCCCTCATGCCAGACTCCTTAATGCTCACGTTAATATGACTCTGGTAAATAATAATCATTACAATTTATTATTTATATATTATATCACCTTTATGATTAAGAGAAACTACAAGGTTTAGGATATGGTACAGTATATCATCACACAGTTAATTCTATCAACAAATATTATATTATTATTAAGATAACTAATCAATAGGTTAGGACAGGTTATAACTAACGAATGACAGAAGTATACTCTAAGAAGGCTTGTATGTATTATCTTTTCTGTAAACAAGTATACAGACACTTAACCCATTTCATGATAGTTTGAGCACAAAATTCTTCAGAGCATGTGTGGAAATGCTCAAATGCTTTCTGATCTTTTATGAGAATGCTGTGATCCCCCAGTCTTGAAAACTTGGGTTTAATTCCAGAGTTTATACAGTACTCTCGAAAGCATAGAGCAACAGGTAAACCTGCTCAAGAATTTGAACACTTTCAACACACAGTGTAAGAACTGAGGATCACAGCATTCTCATCATGGAAGAGAATGTGCTTACTCAATTATGTTCTTAACAAACAGTTCTGCTAACTAAATTAGTGTAAAGAAGCATTTGGAAATATCTTTAAATGGCTTTCCCTCGCCCTAATAATTGTCGTGGCTTTGGTTACAGCACAAACAGAGGATTAAATTATACTTGGTCTTCTCTTTGTTCCAGATTAACCAATTGGCTATTTATCATTATTATTAGCTTTATGGACCTTGTCGCCTTGCAAATTGTAGGTGATTTGGGAGGGGATTAAGTAGGTAGACACTAGACTAGGTAAACACTAAAACTAATTCCTATCACATATTCACCCACTATTAGGTCATGAGTATTCTGAAAAGTGGGCCACTTTTCCAATCATCAGTCACTCGCTATATATGTACAGACTCGTCATTCTACGGATAGCTAACACTGTGAGGTGTACCCTATATCCATTGTGTATATACACTGCTAGGCAGGACAGAGAAGGCTGGGTAGACTGTGTATTTCTGGACTGCCAAAACCATATGTCAGCTTTCGTAAACTGTTTTAACGTCATTCCTCTTGACAAACAATCGGCAGGGTTGTCCTTGGTTGGGACATGCCAAAATTGGAAGCCTATAGAAATTTCTCGTATTTCAGCAACTCGATTGCTTGCGTATGTAGTTCTATTATTATCATTTCTTACCCATTGTAAGTTAGCTTCATTGCCAGAGCAATAATTATAACTGTAATGTTTATGGTAGACAGAGTTTGCTTTATGCGTACTGATAAGCGAGTGCCAGTAAGTAATACTGTGAATTCAATTTGAGGTAAAGTTCTTTTTTTAAGTGGAACAACTGTTGCATAGGTTGTTATTAAATGGCCTTTGAGGCCAATCAAGGTTCATCTTGTGTGTGTGATCTTGAACTGACCATTCTGGTTACTGGTTTGACTCACTTCAACTTAAAAATATTGCTTAATTGTAGGTGTAAGTGAACATGTGAGTGCATTTTGGCAATTGATTGATTCTGTCGCCAGGTGTTGAGTTTCGAGTTGATTCATCATTTTCACTCTAGAGTCTGAGGTAACCAGAAATTTTCAACAGCCAAAAATGTAACATTTGTTTGCGAATGCACATCAAAATAAACATTTTACTAGTATGATAAATACCATTTGTTGGTAAACAAAACTTAATGCTAGCTGCTTAATTATTCCATCCTTGGAAAGGGTCTGAACCTTTTATAATTATATTCTTTATAAGCCTAAACCTATATGTGGGGTTTGCTTACATAAGCACAGACTAGCTTATTTAATTAAATTAATTAAAATAAAATTAAATAAAATTGTTAATTAAAAGGGATATTAAATTTTTTTTTAATTAAGATCAGAGAATAAGTGGAATGGGCTAATGGGAAAGATAATAAAAGCTTAAACAAAAGAAGTTATTTCAAATAAATAATATAATATGCAACAGGAGAACTGGGAGTTATTTCATTAGCCAACCGATAGATTAAGAGGTTACTTACACCAGCTCTGACTGTGTATCCCTGGAGTGTTATGTCCTTATCATGTCGCCTGCTCACGAGTGATGTTATTGGGTGCATTCTGAAAATCCACCAAAAACTTACAATAAAATACTTAGGTAAAACATAAAATATTCGAGCTAGCCTTCTTATTCTTTAGCTCTTGAAATGATCATTATTTTGTAATTATACTGATGAATTGATCGATCAGTAGAGCCTACTTTATTAAATAAGCATTAATTTTACGTTGTATAAACGATCCCAGAGAACCTATTTTCTCATTTAATAGGTCGTATTTTTAACGAAATGTGATGCATTAGTAAATACTAAAGCATTGTAATATTGATTTTTCTATGCATCGGCATCGATAAGTGAGGTTTGTTGCTTGAGATGGTACGTATTTGGTTTCTCAAAACAGTTACATTTCTTACGATGTCTCAGATCAAGGAAACCTACATTTTTTAAGGTAGGATGGTAAATGTCTTATTTTAAATTATTGTCTTTTGATCAGTATTAGCCATGATAGATGAAGAACGTGTCCACTTAACTGATGCTCTCTAATTTTTCTTGTTTAAGATCTTCCTTGATTCAGTATTATTCCATCCCTTTTACGGTACTCTATCTTTTACCAGATACTCTCAGTACATTACCCTATATTGCCGCTACGTTTCCCAACGCTCTCCCATTCTTACCCAATATTCAGTTTATTTTACAAAATACTGAAGATACCTTCCGCAATACTCACCGTCGCCTACCCAATACTCCCTTACCTCAGTGCCTCCCTCACACAGGCTTTGGTGTAAGTGAGTCTGCCCATTTGGTGTGTGGTGAGAGCCTGGCTCCCATCTCCAAGCACCTGGTCCAGCTCCTGCTGTAGTCTGGCCTGCTTGTCTGGGTGTCGAGCCAGGTAGTACAAGGTAAACACCGACGTCATCGATGTCTGTGGAAAGAGAGAGAGATACATAGAGAATAGCCGGTATAGGAGAATTTTTTAGGAGCAGGATCGAACCAGCATCCAGGTAACCCCAGATGCGCACCTTAACCCGCGGACTACGATATGGTGCTTATCTGGGGTTACCCAGCATGCTGGTTTAATTCCCGTTTTGATTCAAAGATTTTCCCATTGATCTTTCCCGTTATTGTGGTTTCATTGTGTAGTCGGTATGATGTTCTTTTTAATGTAGTGAAACTTGAGAGTAATGTTTAAGACTTCCTCAAGATAATTTTGAAGTCTGCCAAAGTTTAATGTAGGGGTTTGTTTACACCGAAAAAGTCTTAGCCAGTAAGCGTTGGCCCCGTAGGTAAAAAACTTAGGTTTGATGCGGATAATGAGACAATAACGTGGCCCAGGAACCCAACCCACACTTGAGAAAAAAAGAAAGTGATGAACTATTCCATCCGTCCTAGATCCTAATCATTCCGAATCTCTGTTCTTAAGGTAAAATCTGAATAGTTTAATTTAAATTATGCTGGATAAGATAATAGGCGTTCATATACAAATTTGGACAGGATTGTTAGTTCAAAAATACATTTGTACTAACTCATCAATGATTCATATATTGTTTTTTACCACCGGACAGACAGAGCTGAAAGATCAGAGAGAGAGAGAGAAAGAGAGAGGAATTTTTACCGTGTCAATCCCGGCGAAGAAGAAGTCGACCATGAAGGTGACAACATCCTCGAGCGAGAGACCCGGAGTGGTGAGGAGAGACTCCAAGATGTTCAGCTCGCCCGAGTCCTTGGGGTCACGGGCGTCCAGGTCCTTCTTAGCCTGGCCAACCTTCTCCAAGACCACTCTGGCGATGTACAATACAATAAGCTACATATTGCAAATTTATAGTCTACCCATTGCACTTTCGTGTAAATTTTAATCAATCAATCAACACGCGTAAGCTGGTGATTCAAGTCAGGTATAAATGATAGAGGAAGTTTGAACCTACTCAAGAAGATCGTCGTGAGAGTGCAACATGCGTCTCAAGGCTGGAGTCGTGAAGTACTTCCAGAGGTGGACGCCGTACTCACAGTCTCCTGAAGCGTCCATCATGGTGGTGGAGGAGTTGATGATCCTCAGCCCCTCCTCGCTATTCTCCAGACACCCCACACGCTTGTTGAGGGCCACCAGGCACAGGGCTGATGAGAAGTAAGAAGTAATTAGTAGAATACACCAAGCCCGGAACACTAGGTAACACGACTGATGAGAAATATTACACAGAATGTTCGAATGTGTAAACTGCTTGTTTTTCACACATTGACATTTTATATAAAATCTGATTATTTTTGATTGTGAGAAGCAGATAACATAAAATACTTATTTTTAATATAAAGATATAATATTTAAGATAATTATTATGCATATAAATGTTTTTTTATCTTTTATATATATAAAACCACAATTGCTTGGTAATAATAATTTTATTTACATGGATCAACAGAGACTCGAACACAGGCCCTAAACAAATGAGGCCGTTATGCTACCAAGCAGATCATGATAGCTTGTGGTCTTGTAGAGGAAATGATGGTCTCATCTTTTAGAACTTGTGTTCCACGAACAGTTTAATTTCCACGAAGAATGAAGTTTGAAAGTTATATGGCTACGATGTATGTATATAGTGATATAGTCCCCAATCCGGTGTAGACGATACACAGGTGGTGAGAACACTGCTAATACTCACACTCAAGAGCCCATTTGAACAGTTCTTGGACGAAATCGCCAGGAAGTTCATTCTTGTGGTCTCGCTGACCGGCTGACCTGTTGTGTAAATGAAGAAATCTGCGTTATTTAACCCATCCTAAAAAATGCTAAATGGCATAACAAAACCTGAAACAGATTAGTCATGAGCCTAATCCAAATTGCCATTTGCCTTAATAAGCAATTTTAATCTTAACATAATAACTCTTAGGCCTTTTTTAGTACATATATTTACTAAATTAGGCCAAAGAAAAGCTCAGTGTTGTTGTTGCCTTATTTATCGGTCCCTCTGCAAAATAAGTATTATAAACGTGGACGTTTTGGGGGGTAAAACAAGAGTAGTATAAATCGTGGACGTTCCAGTGGAACTAGAGTCCATATTATGTGCAGTCCATCCACAGTAGTTATGAAAGTAAAATAATTTTTTAATGACAGGTTGGGTTGTTGATATACATCCGTTGCTTTACCTGTGCTCAGGGTATTATGCTCTAAAGCTGTATGTTGTCTGTCCATTTGCTTGTTGTATGTCAGTATATTGTTTGTCCATCTATTGTTTGTCCACCAGCCTGTTGTTTGTGAGTATGCATGCTGTCTGTCCATTTGTCTGACTGTTTTTTTTTAAATTGCAGGAGAGTCTGTTGTTTTTATGTTGTCTGACAGTCTGTTCTCTTTAAGTTGTCGGAGAGTATTTTTTGGTTATGTTGTCTGACAGTCTGTTCTCTTTAAGTTGTCGGAGAGTATTTTTTGGTTATGTTGTCTGCTCATTAGCTTGTTGTCTGTGGCATTATTAAGATACTTCAGTTTCCGACACATCATCTACTGGAGCTCCCTAATAAGGTAGGCAATACCGTGATCCTGTTAGTACAAGATTAGGTGATAATAATGATTTTCCCCATATCTGCATTGTTTTTACTGTATACGAACTATAATTACTTAACCATATCAACATAAAAACTCGTGTGTTTAGGGAAAGGTAATGCGAATTACCTTTCCTTAAATTCGGTAAAATCACGATAATGAAATTCACTTAAATTAAGAAGATTATAAAACTTTAGATCTGATATTCAGGAAATCGGACCTTCCACATTGGCACTTATATATTATTTTTCATGAGTTGTTGCTATATGATGCACTTAATAAATCAAGAATCTATTGCATGCTACGCCTACTAATTTGAGCTTGAAGAATAATATGTCATAGCCTGAAACATAGATAGATAGATAGATATGTACATAATCTCACTTGAAATTTGCATTTTTGGGGCCGATTTAAGACTGATGATGGGAACCATTAGCGATTATGTGATGAAGGAGCTTACCTATACAGTTAGGAGGCTATGTTTCTGCTTATTCTGTGGTGAGTCTTAAAGACCAGCTCTGGTGTAATGTTTATACTCTTTCCGAACTAAATATATGAATTCAATTTACAGAAAATATTTAATGCATAAATGGGGTACGAACCAGACATTCAAATTTTGTTGGTTTTATTTACCAGTGTTGGGTCCCATGGACTAGCCAAGATTCATTTACGAAACCTGTTCATCTTTCCACATTCATGGAAGCTTGTTTACATTTGTTAAAGAGTGTATGAGCTCCAAAACACTACAAGGTTGTTTATAACAATAATAACCTTGAGTTGTGAAGTTTCATAGCTCATAAACTATTTAATAATGTAAACAAACCTGCCATGATTAAGAAAAGATGTACAAATTTCGGAAGTTGTTGAGTAAAGGTTTGATGAATCAGAGATTTTTAATCTTTTTCTCCTCACGGCACGCTGAACAAAACGTTGAAGTTGTCAAGGCTCTCTGTTATTTTCTTGAGGAAAGACTTTCATCTACAAAAAATCGCCTGTTTTGGTTTAAAAGTTAAATAAATTCAGAAATAAAAAAATATAATAAAATATGCAGTAGTGCATTCTCACACAAAATGACCCTATGCGAACAACAACAGGTGAATGACATCGTACAGTGATACCAAGTGGTGACCTTATGTGGCAAAATAAATAGTACTTCTCAAAAAAAAAAAAGGCATGAACAAGTTCTTGTTTTATTCTTCAATTTCTTCACACTTCTTTTCAACCTTCGCCAAAACTGACGCAACACACCGGCTGGCACACCTGTAAACCTTTCATTGACAGACCTGTGTTTCGCGACACTCTGGTTCAATAATGCTGGGTTAGCGAATACAGGTTAAATTTTATATAATGGTTCGTTAAAGGAATTGTTGCTGTATTAAAACAAACCTAACCTAATCAAACTTTAAGATAAACACAGTTTTAACCATTAGAAAACGTGTTATGTGAACCATGCATTATTAGAATTTGAAGATACTCTGGACTAGCCTACAGTCTAACCCACCACTAGGAGGTAGTGGCGGGTTCTACTTTTACTGTACAACGTACCTGGCTCCTCACTCGCCACCAGGGGGTAGATTATCTACTGTACAACGTATCTGGCTCCTCACCGGCCACCAGGAGGTAGATTATCTACTGCACAACGTACCTGGCTCCTCACCCGCCACCAGGGTGTAATCTATCTACTGTACAACGTACCTGGCTCCTCACTCGCCACCAGGAGGTAGATTATCTACTGCACAACGTACCTGGCTCCTCACCCGCCACCAGGGGGGTAGACTATCTACTGTACAACGTACCTGGCTCCTCACCCGCCATCAGGGGGTAGACTATCTACTGTACAGCGTACCTGGCTCCTCACCCGCCACCAGGGGGTAGATTATCTACTGCACAACGTACCTGGCTCCTCACCCGCCATCAGGGGGTAGACTATCTACTGTACAACGTACCTGGCGACGAACTCTTGGGCCACCTGGTCGACCTGCGGCAGGTAATGAGCCACGGTTCGGGGCTTCAGGGAATGAACCTGTGCTCGTTTCCTCACTCGCCACCATTTCTCGCCGTGCCTGGTGTGTAAAGTTCTATGATTAACTTGTGTTCATCATGTAATGAAGAGAATAATGTAATGAAACTTCATAGAAAATCCCCAAAGCGGGATAGTAAGTACACTTAATATTAAATGACATTTACTCTGTAAAGGAATGATAGATCCTTCCAGTCATGATTAACGAGCATTTTGAATTACAACGAATAAAATATTATCTACGAAATCTATCAAGATTGAAATTGAAGTCAGATGAAATTTGTACATGAACAAAAGCTCTTATAATTGCATCTAACCATTAAAATAAATATATATTTGTACACGAGGTAATTGATAATATCCTGTTAACGGGGGTGTTGAAGTCAGATCAAGAGAGTGTTGGTGTCTGGAAGGGTTCACTGGTAGTTAGGAATTCTCAGCTTGTGTGAAGTGTTGAACAATCTGGTAGAACAATAATTGTTTATCAAAAGTGGGCATAATTTTAATTGAACATTGAGCTAATGAATTAAGGAAAAGCATTGTTAGGGATTTTTTGTATCTACTCACTCAGTAAAAACTCCCGTTCCATGTTCCTTAAAAAAATTTCTGGTGTTGATTTCCCGAACTTTCTTCAGCGATTCGAAAAATGGCCTGACGGGATTGTCAAACGTCTCCTTAAAGAGGTGTTCAATATCTCGGGGATCAGAAATGTAGATAAGATCCCCTTGCCCAATGAGGCTCAACTTGAAAATTGGACCGTACTTCTTGAAGTAAGATTCCCAGAGCTTTGGTAAACGATGAGCATCAAAAGCTGAAAAAGACAAAGTAATATACATTCTAAGACCCTTCGGGTTATGAATACATAAAAATATTGAAGTTACTGAGGAATGATAAAGAACAAAAGAGATGTAATCATAAGTGTTACATTTGATGAAAGAGTCACGAAGTGACACATTCTCACCCGGATCAGTGAGCATGGCAGGCCAGGACCCCAGCATCGGCCATGACCTGGGGCCCGGGATCTCAGAGTGTGGCCGAGGGAGGGAGTGGGAGTCTGTCGTAGCCAGCGAGGGCGCCACTCCAACCATGTTGGACGTCCCCCGGGAACTCAAGGGTTCAGAGGGAGCTCCAGAGAGGACAGAACGTGATGAAGAGATGACGGGCCGTGATGAAGGAAAGGCAAGGAATGCTCTAGGAAGGACATTGTTCTTCCCAAGAATCCTCTTACGTATTATCCTGATCATCTTGACACCCACGGATCTTAATGAAAACAATATTTAAGAGGCACAAATATCTTTTATCTTCCTTGTTGTGTGTAAACGTTGTCTCTCGAATTTCAGTGCTTATTAAAACATCGTTACATCGTTCAATTAACTTTTTTCATAAAACATCGTCCTCTTTTCATAATATTCATTGCAGATTACTCTGAAAGAAATCACCTTGCAACAACTTAACGCTCAAATATGATAATTAAAACATAATTTAGCAAATATTGAACGAAAATTTGTCCATAGATACGCTGACAAATTGTGTCCATAAGTGGACACAATTTATATTTTATGTTCTTATATTACTGAAGTACCTCTTGCCTTATATTTGATTAATTTCTTCCTATTCCTTGCTTAGTTTCGACTTGATAAGAGTCGAAACATAGCAAGATATTGCTTAGTTTCTAAACTCTCTCACCTCTTCTTTCCTGTCTTATACCATATCTTTTCTGTCTCCCCCTTCTCCTTCGATCATCATAACTCTCTTCCGCTTACCCGCTACCTCCTCTCTCTCTCTCTCTCTCTCGTCTCACCCAATTCCTCCACTCTCTCCTAGTCTCCCCTCCCTCATCTATCTTTCTATATCCCCCTCTCTTTTCGTTTCTAACCTTCTCATTTAATTAGTTCATAATAATGACTAATTTTATATAAACGTCACAAAATTTCCTTTTTTTTTCCTTGGGATAAAAGTAATAACTTACTCCCATTCAGGTCATTTTCATTATTAATTGTATGGGTGAAATTTTCACATAAATCTCCTGTAGTCTCTTCCACCTCCACGAGTGCCTCTGAGGACCTTGGTCTTCTATTAGGCGTCTCGAGAACAGTATAGGTGCCCGATATATACTAAGACATTAATGACCTTGGACACCCCGGCAACACTGGCCATTCACCTCATATGACAATGAGCTTTATTTTTTTAGTCCACCAGAGATACGCGTATCTATAATTTTATTGTTTTCTATCTTTCTGCCCCTTATTTGTATTCCAATTTCGGTCCTCGGTACACAATTACAGGTGTCTTGGATATACACGCCTCAAACATCTGTTGATTAACTGAACATAATTTGTAAAGCGGAGAACAAGCACACAGAGCGACCTTACTGCGTTTCAGACGACCCGTTACTCTCACTGATTTCTAACACGAAGCTTCTAACCTTCAACTTACACCTCCTTCTCTCTCTTTCCCCGTGTCCTTCCGCACACTTGGCTATATTAATATATATATTGCTAAGCACCGCGAATAGTTCTATACTTGGGAGACTGATCGAGCGAGTGCAGGAGCACCAGAGAGTGCAAGCCAGGGTGAGAGTTAACTAAGGAACTGCCACTCTCAATCATTTCTGTATACATCATAAAATATTGATCACAGTACACGATACAAATTTCTCACTAGAGAATTCATAATAGTACTTCAATAAATAAATACTGTCGAAATCTTGGTCAAATAAATGTAATGTTTAATGAATAGGGAGACATAATAATAATAATAGCAACGGCAGATGGCACGTTAAGGGCGGTGTTTGCGGCCTTGGTAAACAAGTTGGATAACCGGTCATGCTGAAGAGTGCAAAGTTCCTCTGTTGTTAGCTTAGTTTCAGACTTGATCCGTGCAAAGTTAACCAACTGGAAACAAACGTCTATAAAGCCAGGTTCATCGATTGACATTTAGTAGACAATCCAAGTTGACAAACTAAAAAAAAATACTTAAGAGCCATAGTGGGTAGTAATTTAAAGTAAATTAGGCAGTAAAATAAAAAAAAGTTGTTTTTGTAAATCGCTCGATATTTATTTGTGAAAAAAGTTATTGTAATTGCGTAATAACTTTCAGCCGCCCACAAGAACGGATTTATTAATATTTTTCATGTGTAAAAATTGTTGGCATTAAGTTAAATACAAAAAGAGTTTTATTATGTATTATGGATTTGCGTGCTGCTTGATAAAAATACATGTATACATCTGTTGGGACTGTGTAACAGTGTGTGAGTTTTACATACAACTGATATCCCAACATTTAAAGGATATACAAGGAGGATTATGTCATCAATCATAAATCAAACTTCAGGCCTGACTATCCTAAATGTGAATATTTACTTACAGCTACATAAGCTTTTCCGCCACCAAGCTGAAACGTATGCTCCTTCATTGCTGATTAACACATACTCAGAGTTCAGTATGACTTATTCCAGCCCCGCCAGCCCGTCCTTTCGAGTTTCTTACAATGGACGAGAAAAAATGTACCAAATTGCTCAAACGTAACCTAAATGATGGACCCACGGACAGAAAACGTGGTTGTTTGTGAGTTGCTATGATGATATATTACACTATATTTTGTCCATTGGGGATTTTGACATTAAAATGCGATGTATTATTCAAGAGGATAGGTTAAATGAGCTCATCAAACATCCATACAATGTGCACCTCAACACAGGAGTGGGTTTTCTAGCGTTCGGTCATGGTAAACTGCTGTGGTTTATCAGGCCTATACACAGTCCTGTACAAGGGTTCCCATTCCTCGTGCTTGTACTCCAAGTTATACTTCAGGAACAGCTGAAATAGAGAAATAATTGCGTAATTATATAGATTTATATTATTTAGTGTTATCGACAGTTTATTGAGAGTTTGCTTCTCTCTCGTAAGATGAGATGTTTGAGTGTGAGCAGTGTTGCGAATGTTGCATAACGATTGTTATATAACGAATGCCGTATTGTGAATGTAGATTTACTAATGGTCAAGGATGTCATCTTAAATTTGTCATGAATTTAGAGCAACCAAGTAATACACATCATTACAAAAAATAAGAACTCTTAACGAGGAAAAATAATTATCATGTGTCCTGGACATCGACATAGTTGCCCCGCAGGCAATTCCAACATCTCCAAATTATCTTATAAAACCTAAGTTAACGAGGCAGCGAAGATGACAATAGCAGCAAGATACGTCCCAGCAGACCTCCTTGACCAGGAGGCCTGGTAGAAGACCGGTCCGCATGGACGTTGAGCCCCGAAATCATCGCAAGATTGCAAGGTAGTAGTGATAATCAGTAAAAGATTCAAGTTCATGGTAAAAAAAAGCTAGACAACTACTTAGGACACAAGAACTGGTAGATCCTGGCCTACACAAGTCGTGGGTCTCCTCCCTGGTACTTACCCTGGCAAGCAGGACGTAGACCTCCTGTTCGGCCAGCCTCCGACCAACACACATGCGGGTCCCAACGGAGAAGGGTATGGAGGCGAACTGGTTAGTGAGACGGCCCGGATTGTCCCTCAGCCAGCGCTCCGGTATAAACTCCGTCGGTCGGGGAAAGTATTCCTCCATCTTGCCAGACTCTTCCATGCTGACGAATATCTGAGACTGTCAAAGATGAGGATACTTTGAAAACAATTCATATCCACTTAGGTGATCTGTAGCTCGTATCTCAATCCCGATCAAGTTGTGCAACAGAGTTTGTAAATTGTTTAATGAATTCCGACTAAGCAGCTATGATTGAGATAAGAGGTGCCGAGGTTGTAAATGTACACACCTCGGTAGCTTTTTGGTAGATAATTTGGTAAGTTCTAGCAGCTAGAATCTAACGAATATGACACAGGTTAATTAGATAGTGATGTTGATCATTCCAATCAAAATAAAGTTGTTGAGTTCTCATGTCTGTCTTGTAGAGATACCATCTGATTTATTATACACATAACGTGATTGCGTCAACATATTTATATACATTACATAATTCCATCCACATTATCATATGTATAGCGTGATTTCATCTACATTATTATATATATAGCGTGATTCCATTCAAATTATCTTATATAGTGTGATTCCATCCGTTTGATATCACGCACCGCGTTGACACAGCCATGCAGCACATCGATTTTAAAGATGTTGCTATATTTATTGTATACATATATATTTAAATACACACACACGTATTGAAATTCAAGCAAAGTGCACCTACTTACTCCGGCTCTGACGTTGTAGCCTTGAAGAGTTATGTTTCTCTGGGGTCGACGAGTAATTACTGAGGTTGTTGGCAAGATCCTGCAAAATTAAGCAAGTTTCAAAATACAGTGTATGATCTGAAAATAATATAAGTACTATAAGTATGCAATGATTCACCTTGCAAATCTTTATATTCATTGTGAATGTTTATGGAACATTTTTGTTAATCAGTCAAGATCAACTTGAGTTTGACTGATCAAGATCAAGGTCTACCAATCTGGAAATATATATATTTCTATACTGGGTATGTAGGTGCCAAATGCTTGAAGTACAACCTTTCAATTTTTTCTTCCAATCTACCATCGACATTTTTTTTTTACCCGACACTCTAATGGTGCTTCAGTCATTTATCTCATAAGTATCTGGCTTATCTCATTTGCCAGATGAGTACGACAGGCTTAATATAGCCCGTACTGCTTGGAACTTTTTGTTCCGAGTAGTTAAATCTAAAACAACAACCTGGTAATCGATAATTATCTATTAGAAGCTCGTCTCCTGTGGCAAGTTCCCCCTAGCGCATTATTAGAAAGAAGGGTAACTGCAGTATTCTCAAATTCCAGCTTGATGCTAGTGCAGCAGTAGAGGGAATATAAACATAGGAATGGCTATTTACAGCACATCTCCTGTGCCAGGTAAGTACAACGAACGCACCATAGCCCATGATGCTTGGAACTTTTTATTTAGAGTAGCTGAATCTAAAACAACAACTTAGTGCCTTCATTCAATAATTACCCCGCAGGACGTTCGTCTCCTGTGGCAAGTTCCCCTAACGCATAATTAGAAAGAAGGGTAACTGCAGTATTCTCAGGTTCCAGCTTGTTGCTGGTGCAGCAGTAGAAGAAATATAATATAAACAGAGGATTGACTGTTTATATTATAACTATCAATTACGGGCTCATCATAGCCCGTGCTACTTGGGACATTTTGTTCATAGTAGCGAATCTTTAACAACAACAACAACGACTGTTTATAGCACATCTCCCGTGCCAGGTAAGTACAACGAGCTCATCACCATAACTCATGCTGTTTGGAACTTTATTTTTAAGAGTAGCTGAATCTAAACAACAACTTTGTGCTTTCTATCGATAATTACCCACAGAACGTTTGTCTCCTGTGGCAAGTTCCCCCAATATATATATATATATATATATATATATATATATATATATATATATATATATATATATATATATATATATGAAAAGTAGGTGGCAGGAGAAAAGCACACAGAAACTGTATTGAAGGGGACCGAAACATTACCTCTAATGCATTATGTGTGGTTTCCTCCGAGGCTAAGTGAGCTTTTGGCTGAAAGCCAAAAGTGGTACTCCCTGCCACTATGTATATATATATCTTATAAAACAAGAAATAGGTGGAACTATTATAAGTCAATCAATTTTAGTAAAACAGATTTACATGAAATTCTGCTAGTAATATGAAATTCAACATTCTGCTTATAACTCATTTTGTATGCATGCACTTTTACCTAAATAAAGTATTAATATTTTACGATTATTATTATATGGCAAGCCACTTTATTACAAATTATAAAATATCTTGAAATCCTGGCTCTGTATCCATATTTCGCGTCTAGTAGATCAATGACATATCAGACAAACGTTTAAGCTGTGTAGTATTTTGGTAAATAATACACAGCAAACTCATAGCATAGCATAATATTAGCATAGTAAATACTTTACATAGATGTGGTAAATGCATTTTTTTATACTTGCTGTCATTATAATTACAAGCTGTGTAGATTAGAGGTAATTGTTACTGTGAAAATCTCCGTTGAGGTCTGATTAAAACCCTATGTGTTCTCACAGGATGACTATGGAGTGCAAAATAAAATAATCGCCACTGGAGGCAGCAATCAATCTCTTACCTTAACTGATTCTCTCTTACCTCAATGTCTCCCTCACACAGGCTTTGGTGTAAGTGAGTCTGGCCATATGGTGTGTGGTGAGAGTCTGGCTCCCGTCTCCCAGTACCTGATCCAGCTCCTGCTGTAGTCTGGCCTGCTTGTCTGGATGTCGGGCCAGGTTGTAGATGGTAAACATTGAGCTCGATGACGTCTACGGCAAGGACACACCGATGCAAGTGAAAATTGTTAAACATCAGTGCTCCTAATGGTTTTGAAACTTAACCCTTAGAGTGTGAATCATGTCATGGGATGTTTACTGGTTCACTGGGATAAATGTGGCTCATGTCAGGGGATGTTTGGCACTATAAAAATTAAAGAGAATTTGGTTCTACTTAAAAATCCCTATAATTGCACAAATTTGGCATCTCTGGCAACTACCGCCTAATAAAATGATAAAAAAGTTATTACTTAGAATTATGTTAGAGCATTTGGCATCTCTTTATGCAAAATATTTATGCCTACTAATATATTTCAAACCATTTTTTATTTTTATTTTATTACCCATATTTTTTTTAGATTCTAATAAAAAGAAAACATAAGGGGGGCAACTTTTTATCCACATTTCATGACTTAACATCAATATAAATAGGTTTGTATAATATAAAAAGAATATATATTCAAGGAAGTGAATACAATTTTTATAGAATCTGCATTTTAAATAAATTACACCTAATTTAGTTTTATAAATCCTTATTTCTTCCAGTACAAATTAATGTAATTCGAGGATTTACCGTGTCAATCCCGGCTAAGAAGAGGTCGACCATGAAGGTGATAACGTCCTCGAGGGAGAGACCCGGAGTGGCGAGGAGAGACTCCAAGATGTTCAGCTCGCCCGAGTCTTTGGGGTTACGGGCTTCCAGGTCTTTCTTAGCCTGGCCAACCTTCTCCAAGACCACACTGGCGATAGAGAATATAACATCGTGTGACGTAAATTTTCATGTGGACGAAGGGTACAGTTTCTAACACATACAACACAGGCAAGAAATAACTTACTCGAGAACGTAGTCATGAGCCTTCCACATGCGTCTGAGCGCCGGGGTGGTGAAATACCTCCAGAGGTGGACGCCAAACTCACAATCAGTTATTGAATTAATCATGGTGATGGAGGCCTTGATGATCCTGAGCCCTTCCTCGCTGTTATCCAGGCATCCCATTCTTTTGTTGAGGGCCACCAGGCACAGAGCTGATGGAATATGGGTACATAATGTGAGACTTTGTTTGGGATACAATGGAACTTAGTGAGAAGTGAGGGGATGCATCTATGTTTTTCAATCTATCGCCAAGATAAAGCGATCGGGTCTCAAGACAAAGACCAGACAATGAATAGAAATTTTGATGTAAACACCAAGTGCAAACTCAGGCTCTGACAACAATGGAGCCCCAGGACCTAATCACAGTGCAGACCCAGGACTTAATCACACAGTGGAGAACCGTGATGAACGACTTCTAACTCGTCTCTATTCACAGTAAATTTTCATCATCTCCATCCCCTCTCCACCAATAATGAAGTGTCAGCAAGATTAATAATTAAAAACTTCAGAATTTTTCAAGTGCACACATTTCACTGCTCTACGGGAAAATTAGTTAAGTTTTAAACTTTAATTAACTAACCATGCCTGTTAAAGGTAAATGTAAGAGTGATATATGCCTAAAAAATATCCGCATGAACAGTGAACGCCACAGATACTCACACTCCAACGCCCACTTGAAAATATCTTCGAGAAAATCGCAAGGAAGCTCATTCTTGTGGTCCCGCTGTTGGGCTGACCTGTTAGAATATGTCATTATGCTACTATGTAATTATGACTCCGAGAATTTGAGTGTTGCGAATTTTGTGTATTACAGTTAATAAATTAAAAAATTTATATTATTAATATTATATATTAACAAAGTATTATTATTAAATTAATTTAAATATTATTAAGTATTATTAAATAATTTTCTTAAGTGTTATTAAAATATTTTCTTTAATATTATTAAATTATTTTCTTAAGTATTATTACATTATTTTCTTAAGTATTATGTTTTTTTTAATATTTATTAAATTAATTTAAATATTATTATTAAATTATTTTCTTAAATATTTATTATTAAAATTATTTCCTGTTTTGGTAAATAATATTGGAGGTTTTGAATTATTAACTGTAGAGTTGAATTTAATTGGGGTCACGTTGACGGGAAGAAATATGTTAACGTCTGCAGTTGTCGGAAAAACTGTCTGAACTTTATGACGTCTCATATAAAAAAGACCTTCGAGCAAACTTATTCTTTAATATTTACTGCTTTCCTTACCAGTTTTGGACTAAATGGACTTCCTCATTGTGTTTTTCACTCACCTGGCTCCTCACCCACCACCAGGGGGTAGACTACGTCATCACGTACCTGGCTCCTCACCCACCACCAGGGGGTAGACTATGTCATCACGTACCTGGCGACAAACTCCTGGGCCACCTGGTCGACCTGTGGCAGGTATTGAGCCACGGTCTTGGTCCTTGTAGAGTGCACCTGCACTAGGCTCCTCACCCGCCACCAGTCCTCACCCTGCCTGGCGTAACGTGTTATAATTAACATACGTTTTCCAATGTTTGTAGCAGTTCTCTCAGTAAATTTAGTGTTAAACTAAGAAATATCATATATATATATATATATATATATATATATATATATATATATATATATATATATATATATATATATATAATGTCGTACCTAGTAGCCAGAACGCACTTCTCAGCCTACTATGCAAGGCCCGATTTGCCTAATAAGCCAAGTTTTCCTGAATTAATATATTTTCTCTAATTTTTTTCCTAAGAAATGATAACGCTACCCATTTCATTATGTATGATGTTATTTTTTTTTTATTTGAGTTAAAATTAACGTAGATATATGACCGAACCTAACCAACCCTACCTAACCTAACCTAACCTATCTTTATAGGTTAGGTTAGGTAGCCGAAAAAGTTAGGTTAGGTTAGGTTAGGTTAGGTAGGTTAGGTTGTCGAAAAACAATTCATGAAAACTTGGCTTATTAGGCAAATCGGACCTTGAATAGTAGGCTGAGAAGTGCGTTCTGGCTACTAGATACGACATTATATATATATATATATATATATATATATATATATATATATATATATGTCGTATCTAGTAGCCAGAACGCACTTCTCAGCCTACTATTCAAGGTCCGATTTGCCTAATAAGCCAAGTTTTCATGAATTGTTTTTCGACAACCTAACCTACCTAACCTAACCTAACCTAACCTAACTTTTTCGGCTACCTAACCTAACCTATAAAGATAGGTTAGGTTAGGTTAGGTAGGGTTGGTTAGGTTCGGTCATATATCTACGTTAATTTTAACTCAAATAAAAAAAAAATAACATCATACATAATGAAATGGGTAGCGTTATCATTTCTTAGGAAAAAAATTAGAGAAAATATATTAATTCAGGAAAACTTGGCTTATTAGGCAAATCGGGCCTTGCATAGTAGGCTGAGAAGTGCGTTCTGGCTACTAGATACGACATATATATATATATATATATATATATATATATATATATATATATATATATATATATATCAGGAGAAAGTGCTAAGCCAGATGAGATATGAAAATGGAGGGAAGTTCAAGTAAGTTTATTGATAAAAGGATAGATAAAATTAGGCTGTTTCTACCCTTGATGGAGGGACGAATCTGTGCCTAACCCCTTGGACAGTTGGGTATCGAATGTCAACCCAGCAACAAGCCAAGCCGTCGTTTTACCGTTCAGTTTAAGTGGAAGTTAAAAAACAATAAATATTGAATTATTTACTCGGTAAAGATTCCTGTTCTATTTTCCTTAAAAAACTTGGTTTTATTCATCAGGCGAGTTTTCTTCAAGGAATCAAAAAATGGCCTGATAGGGTTGTCAGACATCTCCTTGAAGAGGTGTTCAATGTCTCTGGGATCTGAGATGAACACAACATCTCCTTGCCCAGGGATGTTCAACTTGAAAATTCGACCATATTTCTTGAAGTAAGATTCCCAGAGACGCGGCAGTCGAGAAACATCATAAGCTTCACATGAAGAAAAAAATATATATTATAGATTAATAGTGAAAATCAACCCTTGATATAATAAGTAAAAATATATAATATTCATTGTGAAACCTTTTAAATATAATAAAATAAATATGCAAATTCATTGCTTATATAGAAAAGGAGAAATGGCAATTGAGTTCTCACCCGGATCAGTGAGCATGGCAGGTAAGGTCCCCAGCAGCGGCCATGACCTGGGGCCCGGGATCTCAGAGTGTGGCCGAGGGAGAGAGTGGAAGTCTGACGTGGCCAGCGAGGGCGCCACTCCGGCCATGGAGGACATCCCCCGGGATCTCCAGGGGCCAGAGGGACCTCCAGGGAGGACAGAACGTGAGGAGATAATGGAACGGGATGAAGGAAGGGCGAGGAGTGCTCTAGGAAGGACACCATTCTTCCCGAGGACCCCAGTACGTAATGCATTGACCATCTTTGATTTGTTGAGTACCAACAGGAAAAGATGAACGTCTTCCCTCTTTCACGTCCTACGTGAAGATTGCTTGTTTCTAGAAAACATTAAGACATTCAGGTTCTTACTCTTAATAAATATGTTGCTTTAAGTACATTACTACTCTGACTACCGAGAAAAGGCCGAACAAGAGCTTGCCACATAAACGATATCAACAACAGACGTTGTAGCTAAATGTTGATAATTAAAACAGGACAGCGAACGAAATGAAGTCTTAGGTACATAAATATATCGTTTAATATGATAATTTTGTGGCAATATTTATTCTGAAAATAAACGTGTATACATTACATGAGTATTTAATGGTTCACTAATGGTGATGGTTCACATGGTTCACTAATAGGGTGATGGTTCACATGGTATACTAACAGGGTGATGGTTCACTAAAGGGGTGATGGTTCACATGATTCACTAAAGGGGGTGATACCGCAGCCTTTTCAAAGCAAACTACCGTTAAACTCCCTCATCAGACGTCCCTCATCACTCGTACCTCATCACTCGTGCCTCATCACACGTCCCTCATCACACGTGCCTCATCACTCGGCTGATAACACGATATATATTACCAAGATTCTGATAATAGCTTCATTACTATGTTTTAATTTTCACACTAGTCTCAGATTAGCTTTCAAAGTACAAGATAACCTTGTAAAACGAACTAATCTGATCAGCGCAACTTTCAACGTCTAGTTCCTGCTCTCCGTCCTCATATCTGACCTTTAGCTTTTCTCATATCCCTTCCAAGTGCTATACGAGCCGAGTGCTTTCTCACAACAAATTTACCTTGCTTCTAGCTGTGGGCAGTGATATCTACAGGGCACATACAAAGGCATTAGCACCATTATACACTTCGACAACACGGGCGATTCAAAAGGGGTTTCCAATTAACAGGTAAATACACACACTGAATCAATGTTGATGAAGTTGATTCGGCGTTGAATTGTCGTTGCTCTTGGATAAATTGCGCACTGGGCTGTCTCGATGACGACGTAAACGCTTGCCCACACTCACCACATCAATGACTAGAACACGTTTTCATTTTTTTCACGCAGTCATTTTAAAATACAAGATATATTAGCAACCCACTACACACATATACACACACTGGGGTGCTCTATACCCTATTTGTAGAAATGCACGAAGTCTGTCCCTCTGCAGAGGCGAGACAACTGTAGAGCGGCTCGGCAGTGTTAGCGCAACTGTAGTTGCACTAACACTGACGAGCAGCTCACTAGCTCGTAGGTAAGGAAGACCGACTCTCTGGACGGACCCTTCCTAGCCTAGTCCCTCTTGAAGGTTACAATGTATATTAAAAGCTTAGAACATGTGAAAGTTCGATATAATATGATATGCTGCCATTATGTCATTTATTTGTTAATATATATACGACTAGTTTATATTTTCGCACGAAATGGGAACTTTAAATATACAGAAATAAAAGGTATGATTTAGTTGTCATATGAAATTAAATTCCTGTTAACACAAGGGGTACTTATGAGCGAGGGTTCTTACCAACAGGGTTGTTCATCCTGTCATTGAACACTACGTCATAGCAACATATAAAACACAACCACCCCCTTCCCAGTAGGATTGTTTGTTAACTTTCTGTTTATTTATTTATTTATTTATTTATTTATATACAAGAAGGCACATTAGGTTTATGAGAGTACAGAGCATTAAAGTTTTACATTCTTGTAACGCCACTAGCATGCACAGTGTTTCGGGCAAAAACGCTAACAGGCAGAAACAGGTAACGCTAAAACAGGAAGAAAAAAAAACAGGCGATACAAAAACAGGCGATAAAAACGCTAACATGTAGAAACGCTTGGCCTGTAGTCTTATGTTGGTAATAAGATGGTACGTCGAGCGGCAAAGAGCCTTATATATACAAAATATAGACTACTACTGAAATATAGAAGTGAATATGTTGTTCTATTGAGAATGTGGGGAAAGTGAAAGTGGTTGAAGGGGAAAAAACACAAAAACAATCTAAAGTAACCCATCCAAGATCTAATATCTGCAATCCTAGACTTAATATATGCAATCATAATTCTAACATATGCAATACTAGGACCAACTTAAGAAATTTTAAGCCTAATGTAGGACACATGTGCAACATCTAGCCTAAGATTGATAAAGCCTGGGAATGACTGAAATAGATTAGGTTAGGTTTTTGTCAAAGTTTTCTGTCTTCAAATAGTCTGTATTTGATTTTTCCCATTTTCAGTGAGACAAAGTAAGGACAACTGTACTATATTTGAGCAGCAGTTCGTACAGTGTTCATAATATGCCTGGCTGTGCATGTATGATCTTATTTACCATCCTAGTGTAGGTATTGATGTGTATAAAAATTTCATCAGCACGAAAATATTGAGGTCATACCATGGGATCGAACCTGTGTCCCTGGACTCCTGACACATCGTATACGGGCTTCCTGTCCCCAATAATCACAACTAACGCTACGATTATTTTAACGAGTTCAAACAATATGAACCTTTTTTATACAACATTGAAGATTATTTTTAGGTTAGGAAATGTTGTTTATTTAAGCAATGCTGTGCAGTTTTAGGTTAAAAAAAGTTGTGTATTTAAGCAATGTTTTGCATTTTTAGGTTAAGAAATGTTGTGTATTTGTGGCTGTTGTAGGCAGGTACAGAAAGAAAAGCTACGACAAATTTTATTATATATTTCTTAAGACTTAGATTTCGTGAACTTATCCAATACATACATTTTCAGGTTCAATTATTATACAATGACAGTAACTTTTTCACAAATAAAAATACAGTAATTAAAAAAATACTGCTTAATTTACCTAAAACAACTACCTACTATCACGCCTAAGTATTTTATTATTATTTTGCCTACTTGGAATATCTTCTACGTGTTCATCCATAAACTTGGCTTCAAAGTCGTTTGTTTCCAGTTGATTAACTTGGACGGATCAAGTTTGAAACTAAGCTAACAACAGAGGAACTTTGCACCCTGTTATTGGAGTGCATAGTCCGGTTATCCGATTTTTTTTACCAAAGCAGCGATTAAAACCGACCACTACATGCCATCTGCCTTTAATATTTTAATTATTATTATCATGATGGACTAACATACATTCTTCCATGCTTATTAAAGTTTACGTTTATTTGACTAAACTTACGAGTGTATTGACCATAGGACTCTACAATAATACACTAGATGAATGCTCTAGTGAAAATGTATAAGTTTCACCTCCAATAATTTATCGCATACGCAGGAATGGTTGAGAGAGGCAGTGATTCTCAGTTATTGCCCATAGTCGCTTGCGCCTACTGGGGCTTCTTCACTCTCTCGTCACGTTTCTCAAGTATTCGCGGTGCTTGGCAATATATATATATATATATATATATATATATATATATATATATATATATATATATATATATATATATATATATATATATATATATATATTATATATATTATATATATTAATATAGCCAAGTGTGCAAAAGGACACGGGAGAGAGAAAGAGAGAGAAAGAGAAGGTGCTAGACGAAGGTTAAAAGCTTCGTGTTAGAAATCAGTGAGGGTGACGGGTCGTCTGAGGCGTAGAATGGTCGTTCTACGTTTTAGTTCACTGCATTAATAATAAGACCACGGATCGTGATAATCTGACAGATGTTTGAAGTGGGTATATATAACACACACCAATGATTGTGCGTGTGCGTTGTGGATCGAAATTGAAACACAAATAAGGGTTTGAATGATGGACACAAAAACAAAAAACATCGATGAGTGATACAAATATTTGTATACCCCTCACAGAACGCAATAATTTCTTATGTGAATCGCCTATTATTTAGCTCACCGAGGTGAGCTACACTGTTCTCTCTACATCAAATAGCGAACTGAGATCAGCGGCACTCGTGGGTGCCTAACCTGAGACTATTGTGGAAATTTTATCCATACAATTAATAACGAATATTGCCTAAATGAGAGTGACTAATTTATTACTATAGTCTCTGCAAAAAAAGGAAAACTTATGATGCTAATTAATAATTAAAGATAAGATTACGAGCTAAATACGTAAATACGTGTTTTCTTATGTAGATTTTCCATACTACGTAAATTCATTATTAAATATTATCATCTAATATTATCTGAACAAAATATACATTTGCCCACTTACGAACGTTAGCGTATTTAAGGAAAAATCTCACTACATTATTGCTGAATTATATTATGTAAGTCATGTTTTAAATATCATATATGAACATTAAGTTTTGGCAAGGCCATCACAGTGATCTGCAGATCTGACAATTTTGGAAACAGGACGATGTCATGTGAAATAAATTAATTGAACGAAAGCAACGATGCTTTATCAACCTCTAAATTTCTAGTGACAACTTTTTCAAACAATAAGAAAAATAAATGATATTTTTGCCTTTTTATTATTGTTTCCATCTAGATCAGTGGGTGTCAAGATGATCAGGACAATACATACGAGGATTGTGGGGAAGTACAATGTCCTTTCTTCACGTTCCGTCATCTACTCATCACGTTCTGTCCTCCCTGGAGCTCCCTCTGGCCCCTTGAGGTCCCGGGAGACGTCCTCCATAGCCGGAGTGGCGCCCTCGCTGGCCACGACAGACTCCCACTCCCTCCCTCGGCCACACTCTGAGATCCCGGGCCCCAGGTCATGGCCGCTGCTGGGGACCTTACCTGCCATGCTCACTGATCCGGGTGAGAATTTAAGTGACTCCGTGACTCTTGCATCAAATGTAACACTTATTATTACATCTCTTTTGTTCTTTATCATTCCCCAGTAATTTCAAAACTGTTGTGTATTCATAAACTTGAAGTGTCTTATAATGTATATTGTTGTGTCTTCTTCAGCCTATGATGCTCATCGTTTACCAAAGCTCTGGGAATCTTACTTCAAGAAGTACGGTCCAATTTTCAAGTTGAACCTCATTGGGCAAGGGGATGTTATCTACATTTCTGATCCTCGAGATATTGAACACCTCTACAAGGAGATGTTTGACAATCCCGTCAGGCCATTTTTAGAGTCAATAACGGCAGTTCGGGAAAAAAGCAAGAGACAATTTTTTAAGGAACGCGGACCGGGAATCTTTACAGAGTAAGTAGACCACAAAATCCATACCAATGCTTTTTCTTTAAATCCAAGTATAAAATCTTTTTTAGTTTGACACAGATTTGGCAGACAAAATTACTTCTAAATTCAATTAAATTCTTGTTATTGATGACTTCAAAAAGTTACGGAAAATATAATAATATGTGCGATCGCAATATTCAATTAAAATTATGCTCACTTTTGTGAAACAATTTTTGTTCTACCAGATTGTTCAACACCTCACACAAGCTGAGCATTCCTAACATTGAACCCTTCTAGACTCCAACACCCTCTTGACCTGATTTCAACATCCTCTTGACAAGACTTCAACACCCACCTTGACCTGACTCCAATGCTCTCTTGGTCAAACTCTAAATTAGCAATCATTAATACACCTAAATAATACATTTCCTACGTGAATGTAAATGTTATTTTATTAATTTTATCATACACAAATAGTTTTTGTTAATGTTTAGATGCTATTTTAATAGCTTTTATTCATATATAACTTCTCTGACTTCTGTTGGAACATGAAAGATTTCGCAGATCACATTTTATATCGAGAAATACAAAATTATCATTCATCATTATTGCAAGGGTCTATCAATCATTTACAGTGTAAACGTCATCTAATATTAAAGTTTACTTACTCCCGTTCTAGGGATTTTCTATTTCGTTTTCATGACATCATTCTCATTTTATATTATATAAAATATAAATATATATAGGGGGTACCACGAGGTACCTATTAGTCTCGGAGAAGGGAATACAGAGCATTCTGATACAAATTTGCTGTTTAACTCTAAATATGAGTGTTCACTTCTCCTACCACCCCCTTTTTATTATTTATGTTATACACTTTATTATACAAGGTTACACAGTAACATGTTTAATTGGTTACGAAAAAGTGGACATTAAGAGGAAATAAAGGGAAGCAAACCTTCCTAGAAGCTGCGTCTTGGAACTCCTCCGACGCCGGGCAGGAACTGAGGATGCAGTGGGCAGTCCCTTCCTAGATTGCTACACTGAGGCGCTGATAGAGAAAACTTGCCGGTCTCTTGTAATTTCAATGAGACTGGAACCAAGATCCTTAAAAAACCTCCTTGCACTTTCTACCCATGGACCAAGGGTCTCAGATTCTATTGGAACGAAGTTGTACCTGTGATTTATTTCCCTGTACTTGGTTGACTTGACTTGTCTCAGTGTCTGTGTGTCGTCGCTGCTCCTGCTTGGCCGACAGAGAGGTTGATGTATGTAGCTGCCAGGGTAGATACGTAAGTGTAGTTCCATGCCCATTGTCTGCCCTTTTACCTAGGGCGTAGTGTGATATCATCTGGTCAGCCAACAAAGCTAACAGAGTTATGATTCAATAGATTGCGAGGCTTTCTCTTCTGGACACTGGACAGTGGCAAGGCTCTACTTAATGATATAATTGACTTTATTATATTATATATTAAATATATACATTATATTCTCATTTTATTCTTATTATTCATGATTCCATTAAATTCTCTTCATTACACCAGGCAAGGCGAGAGATGGTGGCGGTTGAGGAAACGCGTGCAGACGCATTCCCTGAGGCCTAGCACCGTGGCTCAGTACCTGCCGCAGGTCGACCAGGTGGCCCAGGAGTTCGTCGCTAGGTACGTGATGCAGTAGATAGTCTACCTCCTGGTGGTAGTTGAGGAGCCAGGAATGTTATACAGAAGTAGATATTCGACCTCATAGTGGCGGGTTAGACTGTAGCCTAGTCCAGAGTATTGTCAAATTGTCATACAAAAATGATACCCCTACAGCCCCTTTAGATAAACTCTTATTCCCGAAAAACGTTCACGTTTATATATTTTCTATTTACCCAACAGGTCAGCCGGTCAGCGCGACCACAAGAGTGAACTTCCTGGTGATTTCGTCCAAGAACTGTACAAATGGGCCCTTGAGTGTGAGTATTAGCAGTGTTCTTACCACCTGTGTATCTCTACACTGGACTGGTGACTATAGACAGGTAGGGTAGACATGCATCGTAGCCATATAATACTTGTAAACTTCATTATTCATGGCATTAAACCTGCACATGGTATGAGATGATGATGTTGAGAGAGGTATATGTCATGTGAACAGCACACCACAATAGCTTTAATTTATATTGACTACCGGAGACTCGAACACTGGTCCCTAAAAGATGAGACCATCATTTTATCTACTAGATCACAAGTCATCAAGGTTTGGTTGGTGGAATGACGGCCTCATTATTTTAGGGCCTGTCTTCGAGTCTCCAAAGTTCATTTATATTGTTATTTAAATGACGCTAAGAGATGCATTTCATTAATTCTTGTTAACATTATCAAAGGCAGGGGTTACAAGACTGAAGTGTTGGGGCTGTAAACTAGTTACTCTGGAGATACTAATTTCCCTACTCTCTCCAACCATCTTTTTTTGAAGCTTAAGGGCGAATATTCTCTCTAAGCTAAGGGTTTAACGGATTTTGGGGCGAAGGTCAAACAAGGTGCTAAAGTCATGTATCTCTCTGCCTTCAGGGGCTCCCTTAAAGCTGTAGTGCCACCATTTTCAGGCGCGCTGTATTGGAGACAGTGGACGGTAAATGTATCAACACATGTGTTAAAACATGATTACCATCCTTTTAGCGTTTTGCCCCTTAGTAACGTTCGTGATAGTTTGCAATTCTGCACAGTTGGCGTCCCGTTGGTGCTTGCTTTAGTGAGACTCTGTAACTGGTGTTGCTGATGTCTTCATGCCTTGCTTTATTTCATTCTAAACTACGAAAGATAAATCCACGAAGTCGATAATCAGTCTGCTGATGCATTGACACAGACTCGTCTATCCTCGGGGTGGATTGAGGCGACAAGGTAGAGGTCACTTAAAATACAGGTCGGAGGGCAACTAATTGGAAATCCCTAGCATGTGGAGCTCACAAAGTTTAGTGGTAGGCTTTATCTTTACCAGTTCATTAAAAGTACCCATTAGAATAGGCTAATGGTCGAATAGAATAATTATCACCAGGTTTACTTAATTGGTCTTATTTATTAATTTGCCTGTGACAATCTACACTTACGGCTACCATTATTATTCCAATCTGTAATTAATAATTTATCGAGCATATGTTGTTATATGTTTCTCAGAAGCAAAATAACAAGCATGCATTTTCAGTGCATAAAACAAACAGTTTACACATTCGAACATTCTATGTAATATTTCTCATCAGTCGTGTTACCTAGTGTTCCGGGCTTAGTGTATTCTATTAATTACTTCTTACTTCTCATCAGCCCTGTGCCTGGTGGCCCTCAACAAGCGTGTGGGGTGTCTGGAGAATAGCGAGGAGGGGCTGAGGATCATCAACTCCTCCACCACCATGATGGACGCTTCAGGAGACTGTGAGTACGGCGTCCACCTCTGGAAGTACTTCACGACTCCAGCCTTGAGACGCATGTTGCACTCTCACGACGATCTTCTTGAGTAGGTTCAAACTTCCTCTATCATATATACCTGACTTGAATCACCAGCTTACGCGTCTTGATTGATTTAAATTTACACGAAAGTGCAATGGGTAGACTATATATTTGCAATATGTAGCTTAATGTATTCTACATCGCCAGAGTGGTCTTGGAGAAGGTTGGCCAGGCTAAGAAGGACCTGGAAGCCCGTGACCCCAAGGACTTGGGCGAGCTGAACATCTTGGAGTCTCTCCTCACCACTCCGGGTCTCTCGTTCGAGGATGTTGTCACCTTCATGGTCGACCTCTTCTTCGCCGGGATTGACACGGTAAAACTTTCTCATCTTATCCACCATCATTCAAATTAAACTATACAGATTTTACCTTAAGTTCAGAGATCTGAAATGATTAGGATCCAGAATGGATGGAAAAGTTCGTCACTTTTTATTTTTCTCATGTGTGGGTTGGGTTACTGGGTTACGGTATTCTGTCTCATTATGCGCATCAAACCTAAGTTCACCACAGAAATCACAATAGCGTGATGCATCAAATGAACAAATCCACAAGAGATTTGTATCCAAGTAAGTTAGGTACAACTTCTGGTTTCAACTCTTTTTGACCATGTCGTAGCTCAGTCGATTAAGGCAGCGTCTGGGATGATCTCGGACGTAGGTTCGAATCCTCGTCACGGCATTTGTTGATTTGTCCAAACTAAGTTTATTACCTTCGGGGCCAACGCTTACTGGCCAAGACTTTCTCGGTGTAAACAAACTTTTATTGTCTGTTTATTTCCACTGAAGTGTGGATGACAATTTATATGTCGTGGGTGTGGATCACTAATTCCTCTGAGCTACAGTAGTAGTCAGGGAAAATCGAAAATTCCAGTTTGGCAGCAGGATGCGGCTTCTGGAAACTTTCCTTATTAAGATTGCTCAATAACTCGTTGATTGAGCTATGGCCTCACACACGTGGGGTTCACAGTTCGAGACTCCTAGAGCCCAGGAGAGTGTAATCTTACATTGAACTTTGGCAGATTTCAAAATAATTTTAACTTACCTTAAGGCAGTCATGATTATTGCTATCAAGTTTCACTACATTTAAAAAGACACCATACTGACTACACAATGAAATCACAATAATGGGATAGATCAATGGGAAAATCTTTGGAACAAAACGGATATTGAATCAGTATGCTGGGTAACCCTGGTCCACTGTCCATGAGTTAAGGTGTGCATCTGGTGTTACCCAGGACGCAGGTTCGATCCTGCTCCAAAGATTTTCTCCTATACCGGCTATTCTCCTTATATTTATCCGTTCCCATAGACATCGATGACGTCGGTGTTTGCCTTGTACTACCTGGCTCGACACCCAGATAAGCAGGCCAGACTACAGCAGGAGCTGGACCAGGTGCTTGGAGATGGGAGCCAGGCTCTCACCACACACCAAATGGCCAGACTCACTTACACCAAAGCCTGTGTAAAGGAGGCATTAAGGTAAGGGAGCGTTGGGTAGGTGAAGGAGAGTATCGTGGAAGTGAAGGAGAGTATCAAAATCGACTTGAGAATGGTCCAGGGCGGACCGAAACGTCGTCGTCCCTTCAATTTCTAGTGTGTGGTCTGGTCAACGAGAGTATCAAGTTAAATATGGTGAGTATCAGGTAAATTAAAATGAATATCGGGGATTAATGGAAGGGAATCCGGATTAGGTATAGACGTAATGACGATATAAGCCAGAGTAAGGAAGGGAGGAAGGGAGAGTATCGTGTAAAAGATAGATAAATAAAAGAAACATTGATCGCGTCACGAGGTAAAGAGGAAGAAGGATAACTGATTCGTAATTTTCCTTAATTCGTTTAATATTAATGTTTCATTGTTTCAGGTTGCAACCGACAACATCAGTAGTGGCCAGGCGACCTGATAAGGACGTAACACTCCAGGGATACACAGTCAAAGCTGGTGTAAGTATCCTCCTTGTTCCCATTGGATGGCTAATGACATGATTCCGATCCTCCTGTTGTGTTTCAGGCTATGCATTTAAAACTACTTTTTTTTAACTAGCTTTTGTTATCTCTCCCGCTAAGCCATTCAGCTTACTTACTGATAATGAAAAAATGTAATTTTTAAAATCTCTGAAACTCATTTGCGCCTCAAGTTTCCACCATAAGAATCAAGGAAACTGCAGAAGGCCTATATATGGGCCCGTATGTGGCAGTTCCTATCTATAACCACCCAATCTCATTCAAGCTTCAATTATATCCTACTTCTATTATGTTATGCGGTAATTGGTTCCACAAATCAACAACTCTGTTACCGAACCAGTATTTATCCTAGGTCTTTTTTAAATCTAAACTTATGCAATTTATACCCTTTGTTTCGTGTTCTCTTTTATGTTGATACTTTTAATACCTTATTAATATCCCCTTTATAATGTCCATTCATCCACTTGCACCCCTCTGTCGTGTCACCCCCTAATACTTCGCCTTTCTAGGTGAAGACTTCGCCCATGTAAATTAAGCTTTGTCAATCTCTTCATATGACAGGTTTCTAATTTGCGGGATTAACTGTCATCCTACGCTGAACGCGTTCTAGTGAATTTATTACCATTCTATAGAATGGTAACCAAAACTGAACTGCATAATCTAAATGGTACTAACAAGATATAGGTGAAGACTAACACCGGGTGTTATATTACTAACGCTTCGATAAATAAATCCCAGTGTCCTATTTGCCTTATTTCGAACATTTATGCGTTGATTTTTTGGCTTTAAAATCTTACTAATAATAACTCCTAAATCCCTTTTGCAATCTCAACATCATCTAGCTCGTATCCTGCAACTCTATTATCATTACCTAGCCTCAAAACCTTACAGTTGTCAGCAGTAAATGCTGACAAATAGACATACTCTGAAGATTTTGTGCTCAAACTGTCATGAAATAATGGTTTGTCTACTTGTTTACAGTAATATAACCCCACACAAAGGCTTGTTAGAGTATATTTCTGTCATTAGTTATATATAACCTGTTCTGTCCTATTTGTTTGCTACCTTAATATTAATGTATTATTTATAATAATCGGGATCCTCGTGAGGGCAGTAACACTCCAGGTTGCAGTTCTTTAACAATGTTGTGGCACAGTTGACTAGAACGCGTCACGTCTGGGAACATTCAGTACATAGGTTCGAACCCTTATCGAGGCCCATGTAGATTTGTTTATATAATATTTAATATGCTGTACTGCATCCTGTAATTTTATAATTATAATCATAAATATGGTCTAAATTATAAATGTAAGTTATATTATTGGCCAGACTTACATGTTCGTGAGCATTAAGGAGTCAAGCATGAGGGAGGAATACTTCCCTCGGGCGACTGAGTACCTGCCGGAGCGCTGGCTGAGGGCCAATCCTGACCGTAGCGACAACATCTTCGCCTCCATCCCCTTCTCCATGGGCACCCGCATGTGTTTGGGCAAAAGGCTGGCCGAACAGGAGGTTTATGTGCTACTCGCGAGGGTAAGTGCCAAGGAGGACACTTAATGCTTGGTTAGATCAGGTTCTCTAAGTTGTAAGGGCCTTGGGAACGGGTGAAAGTGTTCAGAGTTGAATTATGGAAAATTCGTTTGTTTCAAGAATTATTTCAGTAACAGGACTCTTTGAAAGAGGAAGTGAACTAACTTCAAGCACAAGTTCAGTGTTTATAACCCACCCTCTATATTAATAGGTCAATTTTTTTTATACGTAATTATAACAAACGTTTCAAATGTAACCAACAATGAAAAGTAACGGATCAAAATATCTATGTTAACTTGGAAACATACAAAGTGTATTTCAGTTTTCTTGAAAACATACAGAATGTAAGTAAGTTCTCTTGAAAACATACATCATAATATGACAACAGATATCTTCATTATCGTGATAGATTAAGAGCAATCAAGATACAATCTCTTGAGAGATGTATGACTAGGGAAGATACAAGATAAGGGTCCACAAGGTTGATAAGCATTAAGAAAGGTGTTATAAACAAGACGTGAAATAGTTGAAAATAAACTAGATTTTATAAATAAACAAATTTTGATTGAAAACGAATGTAGGATATATTTCCTCTACAATAATGCAACAACAGGTACTGTAGTAATCAACAAGCAGTGTACTTAAGGTATATTTATTCTACTGCAAGAGACTACAGATTACTGATCATCCAGCAAGTATACTCTAGTTCTGAACATAGTTCAAGGTAAATGTATGCTCTCAGTACATATATATTGAGAAGTAGGGTACGTCATACAGTATATTTAACTTGTATACAGTTTTATACTTATATTTGCATATTACTGCACTTATATGAACTCTCATATTAATGTATACACATTATTTATAAGAAATGTATGTATAAATGTTATTTTTTTTCCAGAGTGCATGTATGTTCATATGTTATGTATATGAAATGTATGTTATTTATTTGAAATGCATTCATGACCAAGTAATTTATATGCTAACCTATATTTATGTACCTTGTTTCAGCTGTTCTCGAAGTATAATCTGGATTACAAGTACGAGGAGTGGGACCCATTGTTCAGGGTTACGTACAGGCCTGATAAGCCTCAGACCTTTACCATGACCGAGCGATCCTGTCTACCGTAACGAATCGGGGATTTCCTGTCTAACCTGGCCAATCGTTGACGGTCTGAGGTCCTGTCATCCCCTTCCTGTCTACAGATAATGTAGTGGGATAGGAGTTATATCTTAAACAATGCATATACCCTGAACATTTACTTTAGGATAAATACCCACACTTGTGTATTTGTGAAATTTATGTAAGGAATTTACACCAAATCTTTCACACTCTCATAAGTGCTTTATCAAGGTCTGAGTGTGTGATTAGGACCAGACTTACATCTCAACGTCTAATGAAGCTCATCCTAAACACACACTCACACCTTGATCCAGCACTCGGCAGAGTGCTAAAGACTTGGTGTAAATTCCTTATATAAATATCACAAATACACTAGTGTGGATTTATCCTGTTATTATTTCTGTGAGAGGACATTACCATTACTAATTTACTTTATTGTTAATAATAATAAATAATTATATTTGGGCACCTCAGTGGAGTGCTTAAAGTGCCCCTGACGTGTCACTTATACTTAAATGGGAATATACAAATATATATTGATATATTAGATATAGATACTGTAGATAAATAGGGCTGGCTCCTTTGGTGTAATTATAGGGACCCATAGCCACAGACAAGAGAATAAACGGTAATGAAGGAAGACCTTACAGGTTTTCCCTGATACTTAATTCCTTTTCCTACCCTTTACTTAATTATAAAACTTTTATTATTTTTTACAATATGATTTATTTATTTTATTACATTTTGATACAGTTTACAGAAAACACACACACGTCCCCTGAAGCCCATATCAAGAGGATAACATCAGCAGCATATGCCAGGTTGGCTAACATAAGAATGGCATTTAGACACTTGTGTAAAGAATCACTCAGAACTTTGTATACCACATATGTCAGACCAATCCTGGAGTATGCAGCCCCAGCATGGAGTCCATATCTAGTTAAGCATAAGACTAAACTTGAAAAGGTTCAAAGGTTTGCCACCAGACTAGTACCCGAGCTGAGAGGTATGACCAAGCTGGAACCTGTAGTCAAGTCGTATTCGAGTTGTGGCAGCGTATCCTATGCTTTCACAATCTACTGATTTTGTTACTAGCCGCATACAAGTGTATTTATAATTTGACTCATTTCATTGCGGTAAATAATGAAACTGATAGTTCCTTTTTTTTGCACTAATTTTTAGTTTCTTTAGATTCATCTAAGAGTTCTCGTCTAATGATACTCTTTTATGTTCTATGCCCAAGATTGTGTTCAACTTTTTCCGTACTTAAAGCAAGCTGGTCTTTTTTAATCCAGATCTTGAAGTATAACTCCTTTGCAGATTCAAGTAGAATATTAAATATCTTGGTTATTTGATACCATCAAAATGCCTGTTGATTTGTTTTAATACTATCAGAGACCTGACAGTCAGAACAGTCATCAACAATTTGATCATCTTGAAATCTTCTCGAATGGAATGTTACTTAAGATAATATTCAACAATGTATAATTGAGAACTGCAACCACCTTTGGACCACCAAACCTACGATATGGTGGTCTCAATAGGGGTAGATTATGTTTGAAGGAAGTTCTCAAGACACATCTGAGGAGTACATACTTGCCGTCACTGTATTCTACTGCCCTCACTGTACACTATACTCTCTGTACACTGTACTCTTCCTGGCCTGATGTCCACAGTTACACTTGAAGAAATAATCTACAGTCGAATGGTATCTGATGGGAATTGTAAATCAGTAAATAGCATAAGTTTTTTTGGACATTTGCTTATCACTGGCCACTAAAACCTTGCCAGAATTGGCAAAAAGAGCCTACATGATACTCAGATTGGTTGTCGAAGCTTCAGCGTTCAATCAAGCTCGCCATCTCACCCATTTATGGTTAGAGAATAGGTTGAGGACCCATTTTCTGTTACATGACCTGTGTGAGTTGAAATCAGGATAGCCCCTGAATCTGTTGATATAAAGTTCAGAAGGGCATTTTTTTTTAATTTGGTGATGAGCTTGTTTTCTATTATCCTCTGGAGGGATTATTGAGGCCACCACAATAGTTTACTGACCAACCAGCAAGTCCTGAATATAGTCCAGGACTAAAGTAAACTCTCAGTGTATATTCACAGAGTTTACATCGCAGCGAATATATCCTTGTATCCCAAGGCTGTTAAAATTTATAGGTATTGATTAAAGTCTCAATTCAGTAACAGTTAGGTACTGCTGATACTCTTTCTTATTGTGAGTCTCATTGACGAAGACTCAACAAACAACCACTTACGAATTCTCTACATCTTAGTTCAATCATGGCTGCTTAAGTCCATGCAAGTCTCATCTTTAACATTTCTATGAATCTTTGTTTTCCTTCTCTGGTAAAGAAGGTGGGTTCCGAGGGATGCATGACTGTAAAGCTGAAAGTTACGAAGCAATGAAGAATGGCCTGAGAGAGAGAGAGAGAGAGAGAGAGAGAGAGAGAGAGAGAGAGAGAGAGAGAGAGAGAGAGAGAGAGGGAGGGAGGGAGGGAGGGAGGGAGGGGGAGGGAGGCCAGAAATGAATCTTGGTTCATGAAGACAGTTTTAGCAGATGCAGAAAGGGAAGAAAATGACATCTAAAATCTTTGATCAATTGTTAATATATTTTTTCCTGATAATTAGAAAAGTGACAAATAAAACTAATTGTAAATTTAGTCCTGAATGTAAATATATATATTTATTTATTTAATAATGGAAACAAGTTATAAATTAATTTGATAACAGTGTTAACAAAATCAAGACAAATTTGTTCCTACTTATCACAACAAGTTTCAATTGTTTAATCTGTTAAGCAAAACAACATAGGTTTCCACAACATCTTTTGTATTTCAATACCTATACAAAATACAACAAAAACCAATAGAATTAAAGCACCTAGCACAGCACAAATACTAGATGTACCTTGTCCATATCATAGCACCTCTTCTAGACATACTTTTACAGAGTACTTTTCTGTCTAGTATTAAAGTCTTGGCCACAGTGATCATTTCTCACATTATTTCACTAACGCAAATATATACATATAGAGAGATTGGGAAACGAAATATTCTTCAGTCCTAACCACACTCAACATCAGTCACACTATCTTAGGGGAAAGGAACGTTGATTTACTGCATGCTAAAATCTCTATTTTTGAAACTGCAGGAAAAGTTCCCTATCTTCGTCACTGAAAGCTAAACTCTTTATCAATTATACTGAAGGCTAAAATCCTTATCTTTTACATGACAGCATAGAATCCTTATCCTTCCTTAATGCAGCACAAACATGTGTAACCATTCAAGTATCCCAATACGAGTCATTCGACCCCACACATGCGGTATCCGCTTTTCATTCCAACGAGTAATTAACCTGAAGCCTTACCAATCTGTGTATCTGCGATGTAAATAAACATTTGATTATTTATGTGTCCTGTATCACTCAAAGTATTACTCTATCTAAAACACGGGTAATTAATAAAAAAAAGCTTCACGTGAGAGAAGTCACATACACGAGGAAGACACATTTAAGGATGTTAAGAGTGGTTCTAAATCTTTTCGCGACCCAGAGAGAAAAAAATTAAAAGCAAACCTATTTGTAAACAATCTACATACCTTTCAGAGGGACGCCAGCCCACTCACAACACCCAAAGCAAACATAAATACCAAACTGAGTCAAATGAACAAGTCAACACACAAGGAAAGCAATGATCAAGGATCAAATCGTTTATCAATCTTTCAAGACGAAGCGGTACTCGATCCTCTGAATCCGAGTTTCGAGTCCAAGTGAAAGAACTACGACTCGAAATATCATTATTTAAGCGATAAGAACTGAGAAACAACACGATCTTATGTTCATATTTTTAAGATGTCTCAGGATGACTGTTGCTAATTAGACTTAAAAAAACTTAAATAACACAGATGTATTGTGAATTGTTGACAGTATTCTTGTACAATATTCCAAGACAGTTTCACTGGCACAACTCGGGTAAAGCAAAATAAAACACTTTATGACTCCTAAGTTTTGGGTCAGTTAACTTTGGGTCAGTTAACTTATCACCTTTTAATATGTTAAATTAATGATTAAACTAGCTGAACTTTCAACTGCAATGTTACAACTAGCTTTCAGACTGGCTACATAATAGAAAAACTCGTATGAACCTTGAATTTCGGCTTCATAAAACAACTTGAACCACGTTCGTGAAGGTGAATATAATGAAATTCAAGTACATTTTGATATCAAATATATAAAATAAATACAAAAATAATCTAGTTCTGTTCCCTTCTGCCCCCATTTCATATTCCTATTAAAAAATGGTCCAAAAATTAATATTTTCAACATTTCTATAATGTTAAATACAACAAAACTTATATGAAACTGAACCGTTAACCTCAGATGAATGAAATAAACCATAAACAAATTGTAAATATATAGAAAAAACAGGAGGATAACGTTCTTAGGACACGGGGAAAAAAGTTCCAGCACACAAGGGTGGAAATTTTCACGCGAAGGAAGTTTTCAGTTAATGATAACTAGCCAAATCAACCCTGTCGGAAATTGTTGAATGGAAAGACGTTGGGGAAGGCGAAGAAGGATGGGAAGCTGTTTCGTGGGTTGAACAACTGATTTTGGATCTCTTGCTGCTGCCGGAAGATTTGGTCTTGCAGTTCTTGCTGTTGTCGAAAGATCTGACCAGGGAGGAAAAGGAGTCTCTAAGTACACCACCAAATGTATATACTGAACAGAACCTAAAATAATGAAATTATCACGGAATTCATATGAATATTATTGTAATATAATAAAGTTATAATATGAATAAATTTGCTCACTGAGGAAATTTATAATATGCTCAGTGAGAATGTCGTCTGACTGATCTCTTTTTGAGTCTGTGACTGATCTATTCTTACACCTTACTGAGGCTTTGTTGCATATTCAATGACTGACCTGTTCTTGTGTCTGACGAAGGGTCTGTTGCACGTTTTCGCTGACGACCTTGGAGGCCTTTCTACACTTGGCCAGCTCGGCCACGGGGTCTGTAACCGAGTCGTGGTTCGCACTAGCTTCGATCTGGCCATTGGGTGTCTGACGGTACCGAATCTAGAATTAAACAAAAGTGTTAAGTGCGCGCCAAATGGGAAGCATGAGAAAACTCAGGCGAGGGAAGAAGATTCTTTCCTTCGGGAAGAACGAAGGAAAGAATAAAAGGAGGAAGTCTAAAGGAAGATAAAAGAGGGGAAAATAAACAGACAAATACGTCCGATAAACGGGTTGTTTCAACGATTTAATAAAAGGAAATATGAAGTATTAAAATGAGAAAAAGTCTGAAAACTTGATGAAAAGGAACGAAAGGAAGGAAAGAAGGTATGAAAGAGATACAAGGTAAAAAGATATAGGAGAGAGGGAAGGATGATGACTGATGACTAACGTAGGGTTTGGGTAACAATAACATGTTCTGAATTGCAAGACGATTGGAACGCTTGTTAGGAGTGCAGTGTTTGAAGACTACTTGGCAATGGAAACATTAGTATTGGAGAGAAAGAGAGCTATGCATGGACGAAGATAGCAACACATTCACAAAAAGGGAAACACAGAGAAAGACAATGACATAGAACAAAGGAGGAAGCAAAAGAGAGAAAGAGAGAGAGAGACAGTAAGGCAAAGTCAAAAAATACCGATACAAGTTGACCAGACCACACACTAGAAGGTGAAGGGACGACGACTTGAGAATGGTCCAGGACGGACCGAAACGTCGTCACCCCTTCACCTTCTAGTGTGTGGTCTGGTCAAATTACTTTAGCCACGTTATTGTGACTCATCGCCTGCATACCGATACAGAGACAAATTCACAGAAACACACAGCAAGATGCGAAAAAATAAAACGCATCTCTAAAGCGAAGAAGTGTAATGGTCTCACCTTAATAGACTGTCCGCTTTTGTCGATGTAAGCACACTCGCCTGTGGTGACACCGCTCTGGTCCACAGTTTGGCTCTGAGCAACTCCTGATGCAGAGCCGCACGAGCCGTCCGTACTCGAACATACTGAGTGGATCACCGCGTGCTGCGTAGCCCCGAGGTGAAGCAGGGCCAGTAACACTGCCACCAACACTGTGGTTCCTCGTTGTGTCATCTGCCACCAGGGAGAAAATATAAATGGTTGCTCTGAAGATATTTCTAGACGGGAGACATCTCCCGTCACGCAGGGTGCAGTCGCACCTCCACAGATCTCCAGTATCATCTATTGATACTGGTAATGGCTCAAAAGGGCCACCACTTACGGGCTATTCGTGTCCGTGCCTCCTTTTGGGTGGCTTAATCTTCATCAATCAATCAATCAAAATTTCTAGATATGAAGTGTGTCAGAGAAACATAAAGACTCTGGGGAAGATATATAGATAGAGATCGCGAGAAGTGTGACATACAAGGTATACATTATTAGAACATGGCCTTCAGTGTAATGTATTATGTATGCAACATATGTGTGACCATCCCTCAAGTATACACAGTGGACTTGCAATCACCAACTGGAGAAACACAAAATAACATTAGAAAAATCCACCTATTCACCAAAACAGATTGAAAGTAATAACCTACAAGATAGGTCAATAGAAATGCACTGTACTAGACTAGACGACAGGAGCAGTGGGGACATAATCACATCGTACAAGATTACAAGGGAAATCGACCAAATGAACCAAGAGGCTGTAGTGTAAGCAGCGCCTACGAGGTGCCGTCGAGAAAACAAAACGGCACCTCATAGGCCCGGTTTGTGTGTTCCTCGCCAGAGGAACAAACAAAGAACATTGTGAGAGGATTGTAAGCATCGCTTTCCAACTTCTGACTTACTTTTAATTATATGGAAGGTAAAATATTAAAGAAACTGTTAATGACTTTTGTGAGACCAAAATTGGAATATGCAGCAGTTGTAAGGTGCCCAAGTCTCAAGAAGCACATAAATAAACTGGAAAAGGTGCAGTGGCATGCTACAAAATGGCTTTCGGAACTGAAAAACAAGAGCTACGAAGAGAGACTAGAGACATTAAACATACCGTAACTAGTAGATAGAAGAAAGGGAGGTGATATGACCACCACTTACGAAATACTAACAGGAATAGATCAAATTGACAAAGATAAATTACTGAAACCAGCAACTTCACGAACAAGAGGACACAGATTCAAGCTAAGAAAACAGACGTGCCGAAAAAATATTAGAACATTTTCTTTTGCAAACAGAGTTGTAAACGGTTTGAACAAATTAAGTGAGAAGGTGGTGGAGGCCAAAACCGTCAGTAGTTTCAAAGCGTTATACGACAAAGAGTACTGGGAAGACGGGACACCACGAGCGTTGCTCTCATCCTGTAACTACACTTAGGTAATTACACACAACAAAAATCTAACTGACATTTTATCCAAATAGGCCAATGTGAATTTTTCAAAGTTAATGTAATTTTAAAATTTTAGTTTATTTATAATACCCAGCAAGTGGGTATAATACCCGCGGGGACACTAAAGCCCCGAAATCATCTCAAGATAACCTCATGATAGCAATATCCTAATGTATTATACATCCAGCTATAGGTTCTATAATATCTAGCAACAGATTACTGTATTATACATCCTATTGTAAGTTCCGTAAGGTAAGAATTATACACATTATTTACGTGGAAAGACTCCACCGACCAAGCCAACTTAAGCACACCTTTGTTAATTAAGACTTACCACATTCTGTCACTCAACTGTCACTCAGCTGTCACTCAGCTGTCATTCGCGTTCACTCCCGTGATCAAACTTGCTTACAAACTCATAATTATTTTACATTTCACGAAACTCCGACACGACACGGGGATTGTAAGTCGACCTGGTGATTGTAAGTAGGCCCGGTGATTGTATGTTGATCTGGTGATTGTAAGGTAGATAAGTGGTTGAAAGCCAATCCACTGTATACACTGGAAAATCACGCATATACAGACGTATTTGCATTGTATGTATATTATACATTCAGACTTTTCTTTAAAAATTTTGAGTGAGATTTGCTCTTTATCAAATATTTTAAGTGCGCACTTCCGCTCTGATGGTGTAATGCGTCCTGGGCGTGTGTTTGTTTGCATGTGTACTCACTTAGTTGTGCTTGCGGGGGTTGAGCTTTGGCTCTTTGGTCCCGCCTCTCAACCAACAATCTACTGGTGTACAGATTCCTGAGCTTCTCGAGCTCTGTCATATCTACATTTTAAACTGTGTATGGAGTCAGCCTCCACCACATCACTTCCTAGTGCATTCCATATATTAACTACTCTGACACTGAAAAAGTTCTTTCTAATGTCTCTGTGGCTCATTTGGGTACTCAGCTACCACCTGTGTCCCCTTGTTCGTGTACCACCCGTGTTAAATAATCCATCCTTGTCTACCCTGTCAATTCCCCAGAGAATTTTGTATGTGGTGATCATGTCTCCCCGAGCTCCTCTGTCTTCCAGCGACGTGAGGTGCAGTTCACGCAGAATTTCCTTGTAACTCAAGCCTCTTAGTTCTGAGACTAGCCTAGTGGCATACCTCTGAACTTTTTCCAGCTTTGTCTTGTGCTTGACAAGGTACGGGCTCCATGCTGGGGCCGCATATTCCAGGATTGGTCTTACATACGTGGTATACAAGGTTCTGAAAGATTCCTTACACAGGTTTCTGAAAGCAGTTCAGATGTTAGTCAGCCTCGCATACGCCGCCGATGTTATTCTTTTGATGTGGGTTTCAGGAATAGGTTTGGTGTGATATCAACTCCTAGATCTTTCTCTCTGTCCGTTTCGCGAAGGACTTAATCTTCCATTCTGTATCCTGTGTCTGGCCTCCTATTTCCTCCTCCTAGTTTCATTGTGTCTTTAGTGTTAAGTGAAACATTCTGCCTAGTTTCACTGTGTACTCACCTAGTTGTGTTTGCGGGGGTTGAGCTCTGGCTCTTTGGTCCTGTGTGTGCGTGTGGGTGTGTGTGCGCAGAAGTGTACGTCTGTGCTTGTGTGCGCGCATAAGTATGTTTATGCATATGAACACGTGTGCATATACATGCTAGTGCGTGCATGCGTGCGCATGAAGGTGACCGGTGCGCACCGCTCACAGGACCCGAAGCAACGCAGAATGGAACGGTAATTTCCACTCTCAAAGTTGTTTATTTTTTACGCAAAAGAAAACAGTCGTTCACGCCTTGTTATGGTTGAGTCATATGTACGATTACGACTATCCTCTCTCGTAAATTACGACTCTCTCTCCTCTCTCGTAAATTACGACTCTCTCCTCTCTCGTAAATTACGACTCTCTCTCTCTCCTCTCTCGTAATTTGCGACTCACTCCTCTTTCGTAAATTACGAATCCCGTCGTTTCGTATCCAACTACTTTTTCACCTCTCTCTTCAACCCGCTAGGTTAGGTTCGGGCAATTTAATACAATAATTTAAGGACGTTGTGTACACTTGAGAGGACGGGCTGGTCTCTCAGCTAACTTAGAGAGCGTTGCTGATAGCCTCTAGGACGACTGATAGATGATTATCTCGTTAATCACTGTGGCTCAAGGTTATCTCTGGCCAATTTCCAGGAGTTAAGTGTCGGTATTAAATAATCAAAGAGAAAGCTTAGTAGCAATAGAGAGAGAGAGAGAGAGAGAGAGAGAGAGAGAGAGAGAGAGAGAGAGAGAGAGAGAGAGAGAGAGAGAGAGAGAGAGAGAGAGAGAGAGAGAGAGAGAGAGAGACAGAGACAGAGATATGGAGAGACAGATAGAGATATAGATAGACAGTCGAACACGAAAGACAGAGAATGAGGTATTTGGGGGAGACTATTTTTAAAACTGCTCTGAACATCCATGACCTAATTTACCGAGGGAGTGAACTAACCACAACACGAAGTCCATATAAAGACGCCCGCTGAACATCCCGCAGGTTTCTGAACAGATATGAGTGAACACACAGTGAGAAAGACACCACTAGTTTGTTCAGTGACTTAACAGAATGGTCTTGCGAACTCTCTAGTCAACTTGAGCATTTTTTTGCGGCAGAATCATAATACAATAGTTTATTTTAAGGAACTGTGTCGACGTTTCGGGTTTTGTTTATAACGTTAGTTATTGTTTTTATTGTTAACAGTTATTGCTACTTTTCTTTAGACATATTAGAACGATCAGTCACAACTTACGGCGTTACTTTTCCTTCAGAGACTGAACTAAAGTGGATTCGCTTTTTGAACACGACTTTCACATCGCAAGATTTCTGCCTGATGGCGCTGGTTATCAAGCAAAGTGATATCTTCATTCAGATTTCACTCCTCTTCTCTCTCTCTCTCTCTCTCTCTCTCTCTCTCTCTCTCTCTCTCTCTCTCTCTCTCTCTCTCTCTCTCTCTCTCTCTGTCTTTTTCACATTTCCTCTGGTGACCTCAATATATTCAGACACACATCGCAGTCGATGTCAACAAGCCAACAGTTTTTTCTACAGTTCTTGACTCCTTTGCACTACAGAATGAGTCTCAAACCACGTAATTTCCCCTCAAAGTTTGACGAATGTTACAAAATTGGGGGAAGCGCCATCCTTGTGCCACTTAACGCCTGGAGAACTCTAGCAAACGGACCACAAATGAGACTGCGTCCAGATAGTTTTTTCTCTACTCCAGGACCAATACTATCACCCCATTTCCCCCAGCACAGAACAAGCACTTCGGGACTTTCACCTCCTACACAGAACGAGAGGTTCTGGACGGTCAGAACACAGACGTGTGAAGCACAGATGTGTTGGTTTTGATCAAGTTTTAGTGTTTTCATAATAAAATGTTAGTCATTTAAATGTTCGTGCATTTACAACGATCAATTATGATTAATTGCGGTAATAATGCAGCAATAATGATTAATTAGATGTCGAGTAATGCAGATAAAACACAATATATATATATAAGAATTCACCCAAATACTAAATATTAACATAAACGTTTTTTTTCCTTCTCTGCAGAGTAATGTTTTTGGCTAATGATTTTTTTATTAGTGTTTTTTTTGTTTGCCTTTTATTATGGAATAATGTATTGTGTGGGTTTGTTTACACCGAGTGGATCCAAGCTCCTGGGCCACCAGCTGCGGGAGTGGGGCGTCGGATCGTGGAGTGACCTTTCTGGC